CTCTCTCTTTAGGCCCACTATAGTCGCCTCTAGGTTCTCATCTAGGAGGTTGATATTTATCAGTCCCTTACTACTAACCTCTTAACTCCCCAACACTATCGTTAGGAGTTGTATGTTGGGGTTTATCTTAGTGGACTTTATTCGTCCATCAATCCTAAATCTTAGGGTCTATTCTCTCTAGGATCGTGTGTCTAATCTTGCCTCTATTTTCTCAGCAGTCCTTCAAGTCACCACTAGTACACCTATCCACTCATCATCTTCCTCTCCAAGCACCATCTCTACTCCTTCAGCTCTTACTATTGCTCCTCCCTAGGCTCAAGATGATATCTCTCCTTCCCATCCTGACGGTGGCCATACTTCTCATGGACGTGGGCCCAACACTTTTCCTTCATGTACTCGGAATAATAAATGATAATGTATTGTTCGATATGAGGTTGCACTTACATTAAGAATGGGGACTGAATTCATTTGATCTTGGTTTTGACTTTTGGACAATTTAAAATACTTTTTCTTCTTTCTTCAACCATAAATCTTATAACTTTATTAAATCTATTGAATTGGAAGATTTTAATAGTTATTTGGTCCTCTATATATGTTCACTCTCTAAAAGTACTCTATTCTTTGGTTCTACTAAATTGAATATTTAGCATACCCATAATCACTAATTATCCTGCTGAACTCTCACATAGTTTCACCCTAAAATTCTCTTCTACATTTAGGGCAATAAAATATCAATAGTTGATTATAGGTTCAGCTGCTTTAAGTGGTTAAATGCGAATTTAAATTCAAGTCTTTCTCACAGGAATAGGGAAATATTTGACGCCCTCAACATGTTTTAAGAGATAGACTTCCTTGAGTGTGAGTTGGAGACTTTGCCCATAGAAGCTCGCCCATAGTTCTAGGATACTTTATCTCCCATAGTTGAGGATGTTAACCACTATCGATGATTATTAGGCAAGTTGATATATCTCACTATCACTCGTCTTGACATCATGTACATAGTTAGTGTCCTGAGTCAATTCATGCAAGAGCCTTGACGAGTTCTTTAGAATGAAGTTCTACAAGTCCTCACCTACATCAAGCGAATCCTAAGAAAAGGGCTCATTTATCGGCGACACAATTATTTTTACATTGCAGCCTACTTTGACGTTAAGCATGTAGGTGACAAGGGCGACTAAAAGTCTACAAGTTATTACACATACGTCGGCAGTAACTTAGTCACTTGATGTTCCTGAAAACAGAGGGTGGTGTCTTACTCTAGTACAGAATCTGAGTATCAAGCCATGACTAAGATAACGGCGTAGGAAATAATATGACCTTGATCACTCTTGACGATCTTGATATTATTTCTCCCTCTCCAATGTCCATACATTACAACAATCAAGTTGCCATTTTTTTTGTCAGCAATCTCACCTTTAATGAGTGTACAAAAAACATTGAGATCTACTGTCACTATATTCGAGATAAAATTATGTCTGAACTTATCTCTACTCCTCATGTGGCACCATCTCATTAGCTTGCAGACGTCTTCATAAAAAGTCTGGCCGACATCTCTTACAATGTCATATGTATCAAGTTAGACATATTTGACTTATATGCTCCAACTTGAGGAGTACTCAATAATGGTATCAGACTCTTAGCCTACTATGGCTCATTATCTATCTCTCTTTTTCATCTCTTCTCTCTCTTATATAAGAGTCATGTATTCTATCTAAAGGCTACATAGATTTCAGAGTTTTTCCCTCTCGTGTCAACATTATATATATGCTTTCACTTCATTTGATTTTACTTATTATTAATAAAAAAATATATTTTTTCCCTCTAATCCTCCCCTCATTATTCAATGAAAATGAATCAACTTTTTCCAAAAAAAATTCACCAACGTAATAAAAAAATACCATGGGTAAAATAAGAATTTCAAATTTATAAGAAAAAAATCCCTTACATAATTAGGGTCATCCAAGTTATCACTTTTCCATATAAAATAGGTTGACACTACTAGTACAAGAAATCGTGAAGTTTGTATTATGTGAGTGAGTCAACTTGTCTTAAATGTAGGATTAACTCTTCAATAGCTAATGAAGTGAGTTAGCTCCTAGGAAAAGACTCAAATAACTTCCACTAAAATGAATGAGTCTTAAGTATTCTTAACCTTACAAAAAGTGTAAATAAGGGGTGACTAATAAAATGCCCCAACAAAATTATTTTAATATCTACATTACCTTTGATTAGATTATAAATTCTCCAATCTGACTTGTGAAATTCCCTAAAATTTAAAATCTTATTATCTGCAACTTTTTTCTAGTTTACACTTCATTGTAGGAAGTGACTCATGAGTTAACCATATGTACACAAAAAAATTATAGGTTTGGCTATTTAAAACCTTTTTTGGCTATTAAAAATTCAACAATCAAGTGTAAAACATGTATATATATATATATATATATATATAACACTTTCCAACATCCCATAAGAGGGGTCACCATTCTCAAAACTTAAGTTCAAATTCATTCAAATTCCCAACACCGTAGAAGCACTCAAGAAGCTTCTCAACAAAAGAAACTTTAGCACCACCCAAATCACAAATTTATGGTACCAGAAGATACACATCAAATTGTAGGAGCCTTTAATTTGATTTACTTTTTGATTTGAATAATACTAGTAATTGGTTGAACATAATAAATAATATTTAGATTGAAATAATGTGAAATTACCTTTTTCCATCATTAGTATTTATCAACATCAAAAATTCAACTTTCAAACAATTGACAACATCATGTCACCAAAGTTATGAAATTTCGGTAGCACACCCTAGCACCATCTTAATTATGATTAATTTTCCATGAGGCTTAGACATCTTTATTGTGTCTTGATTTCCAGCAACATTCCACACAAGATGACACAAGAAAGGCTTATGTAGATAGATGAGAAGGGAACTCCAAGGAACTATAGAAGGAGAGGAGAAGATAATGGTGGTGTATCATAGGGATTGTATTCTGGACATCATTTATACCCAATAATGAAAATAACTTGAAACCCCTTCTACAATTGGAATCTGTCAAGACGTGTGAACCATAATTCATCATCAATCCAATTATGTGAATGAATCAGGTTGATTGATCAGGATGATGAAATTGGCATACTTCTTTGTGTTAGGCCTTAAAAAAAATGCATCTCGTATAATAAGGTACACTCCCTTATCCCATTATGCAGTCAACGTTTTTCTAGTTGGTGGGATATTAGATATATATTCCCCATTCAATGTTGCAAGAAAGTCATATATAATAACTAATTTTGAATAAACATTATATTTTTTAAGTTCCTTCATGTTTTTGGGTTCCATGAAGATGGAAGGTGTGAAAATATAAACAAAGGTCAAGGGAAAAAGTATAAGAATAAATCAAAAATTAGAAACATCTCCCTAGACAACTGAGGAAGAGGGATGATTGTTCTCTGCATCAATAAATCGTGATATAATTTGAAATGAGTGCAACAATCTTATTTACACATAAAAACCCAATTTTATGGGTAAAATACATAAATTGTATGAAAAACTGTAAAATTTAAAAGAAAAAAAGAATAATTTAAACAAACCCTATATCTCCAGATACTTAGAAAAGTAGTTTGAAGCTAGAAACACACAAGAAGACCTCTTAGGACTCCTTGTCGAAATGCGAATGTGAAGTAGAAAATTTGCATGTCTAGGTTGATCATGGACAAGCCATTAATAACATTCTACTATAATAGAATAAATTTGATAAATGTGGTACAACACCCCAACCAAAACTTGATCATGGAAAATCCATTACTCAACGTTCATTCTGTGGTAAATTGATTATTGACTCCAGATAAATCTACGAAGTTCGCTAGTGATGAATGGAAGCACCTCAGTATAAGCCTAAAATACAAGATCATACTAATTCGGAATCACCTCTTTGTAGTCAAGAAAGCATTCTGTGTAAGAGGATCATATTAGTTCTTCCAGGCTTCTCATGTCTTGATTACTTCATATCCTTTCTTCTTATCGGGACTTGAAGAATTCACCCACCCATCTGGTCCAGTCTAGCTTTAATCTCTTCAGCTTCTCCGGAAATAAAAGCAATTAAAGCAGACTATGTTCAAATTTCAAAGCCCATTCCTACCAGAAACCAAGGAATTAAAGTTTTTTCATAAATTAGAATCTATGGGAAGAGAAAAAAGATTGGCTTGTGATGTGATGAGACAGGGTGCAATGCTGGTAGCAGCTACATTTTAAGTTCCTTCACGGGTGAGATCAATCTTTCCTCTAAGAGAACGAGCGTACGTGTGGTGATCAAAGCGACCAGAAGGATTGAGAAGGCTGATAGAGGTATCGCCCCATTAATTAGATCCAAGGTAAGCACTAATTAGGGAGAGTTATAGGTAAAAATACTATTTTTACTCTTACTGAACGAATGGAGAACATGGAAAATGAGTCTGGTCATATAATGGCGACATCTCAAGCTCCCTCTGGTTGTAATCATCCAGTGATTGTCCAAGGGGACTGTCTAGAATCGGTCCAATGAAAACAAGGCCCATTGGGTCCAGTGGTCATTCCGGGTTGAGCTCGGCTAATATGATTAAAGCCCTGCCCGTTGACCTCCAATTGTCTTCGGAAGCGGTTGGCGGAGTTTCCGTTCAGGAAGATGGAAGCGGCAGTTTCGCCGTGATAACCGGATTCTGCTATCTTTCCGCCTCCCGCCTCCGTCGGAGTCGGATTCTATCTGTTGGACGCTTTCTTATTCCTCTTCCCATGCTCTCTATATAAACCCCTCATCTTCTCTCCCGCCTTGCTCTTCTTCTTCTTCCCATATTCCCAACATAAACCCTTCATCTTCTCTCCCGCCTTGCTCGTCTTCTTCCTCCCATATTCCCAACATAAACCCTTCATCTTCTCTCCCGCCTTGCTCGTCTTCTTCTTCCCAAATTCCCGACATAAACAACTCATCTTCTCTACCATCTTCCCATATCCCGCACCGGCCATGGCTTTCCTGCCCCGTTTTCTCTCCACGCTACCCTTTCTCCTCCTCCTCCTCCTCTCTGGCGTCATCTCCATCTCCGCCTGCACCGGCCGTCGCTGCAAACAGATCGAGAACAGAAAAATCGTCGTCTTCCCTCGGGCGAACGGCGATTCTGGAGGTTCCGGGCTTTGCTTCATCGACTCCATTGTAAACTTCGGTGACTCAATCTCCGACACCGGTAACCTTCTCCGGCAAGGTGGCGCCTTTGCGACGATCATCGGAAACCTTCCCTACGGCGAGACGAACCCTGCCGGGCCCACTGGCCGCTGCTCCGACGGCCTCCTTATCGTCGATAACATCGGTTGACCATTTTAGTCTCCATCTTCTCTCCTCCTTACCCATTTTATCTATCTATCAAGCTTAATCGACTCTGCCATGGGAAGAAGAAGCGTCGGCGTTTGCATGCTTTTTACGTTCTTCTGTTTCCTTTTTTGTGTGTGATCGCATGAAATGTTCTGTCATGGCGATAGCTTCTGCGCTTGGAGTTCCTAAGTTGCCGCCGTACTTGGACAGTTCGGCCAACTTTGACCGTGGGCTAAACTTCGCAGTCGCGGGGGCCACCGCGTTGAGTCAGTCTACTCTCTCTGGAATCGGAGTGGCTTTGCCCTACACGACGAGCTCGCTTGAAGTTCAAGTCGGCTGGTTCAAGCAGTACCTCGCCTCTGTGTGCTCCTCAACGGAAGGTCCCTCCTTTATCCCTTCTCTCTCTCTCTCTCTCTCTCTCTCTCTCTCTCTCTCTCTCTCTCTCTCTCTCTTGCATGCCTGCATGAAAACCAGTAGACGTTCGTTTTGTGTTACCACTGCAAATTCCTGTCAACATCAAGATATAAATTACGATTCTCCGGTATTATTATTTTTTATTGTGAATCTAATTCTTCAAATTCCAGAAGAGAGAAAGAAACCCACGTCTTAGATTTATTTCCTTTATCTCAATAGATTGCTTAAATAAATTGAAGAAGACCCTCTTCCTCGTGGGGGAGATCGGGGGAAATGACTATAACTTTGCTCTGATGCAAAACAAGACTCTGGACGAAGTCAAAGCGCTCGTACCCCAAGTCGTCAGCATGATCATGGAGGGCATTCAGGTGATCAAGAAAAACCTTCTTAATTCTAAATTATTAATCATTTTTGCATCAAAAATTTAGGGTTTCATATGGAACTACTAATCAGCTATAAATCTTATCAATTTTTTTCTATTTCTAGTCGCTGATTGGATATGGTGCAAGGCAAGTAATTGTACCCGGAAACTTCCCAATTGGATGCATGCCATCATACCTCACAGTATTCGGAGGCAATGGGCGGGATGAGAAGGGATGCATATCAGAGTTGAACGAATTTGCCAAGTTCCACAACGACCACCTGCAGGATTCTCTTAGAAACCTGAGAAAAGTAAACCCTAATGTCACCATGGGATATGCCGACTACTACTACTCATTCTTAGAGATGGTCAACAACCCCGGCAATTATGGTAAGTCAAAGCAGCAGAAAATTCTTAGAATCATAGAAGAAGGTGTCGTCAATAATGCAATACAATGAATTTAATCAAACTAATTTTGGAAAAAATGTATATACAGGGTTGGATGAGAGCTCTATGCTTCAAGCTTGCTGCGGAACAGGAGGATCATACAACTTCAACTCGGCCCAGATGTGCGGAGGCCCAGGTGTTCCAGTATGCGCTGATCCGAGTAAGTCGATCAGTTGGGACGGGATTCATCTGACGCAATCAGCCTACGAAATAATGGCGAATCAGCTGATTTCCAAGACAGAATTCATGAAGGATTGGAAGTGCAACGAGTCATAGACCAGACTGGTCCAATGCTTGGGAAATTATTTCATTTTTCCTAGTTTTCTGGAATATGCTGCTGTTTTTTTAATCCAAAAAACTTTGTAGTTGTTAGTTTCTTTTCTCAAAATGGTAATCATATGATTTGGTCTTCTAGCAGTCAACAAGATGAATAATCCAGAAGCAGTGAAATACGAGTTGTGGATCCATGTTTGACCAGAAAAAATAGGCGCCCTCCTCGATTCTTGTAGACGGTTTTGACTTGAAAACATATGATGGAAAAAAGCAGGAGGGGTCCATCACCTTGATTTCACCCTTCCTCTTCCGCAGCATGTCCTTCTCATGCCTTCTTGTACTGTTCTTGCTGAGAGGGGAGAAAATTAATGGCCGCATGAGTCTGCAAGGAAGCAAAGAAGATAAAAAAAAATTATCTCAGGTAATTAATTCATAGAGTAGGAAATATCTGAAGGGAAGTATTTAAATAATATTCAAACATAATAAATATTAAAAATTGTTCTTGAAGGATCCATCTATCTAAACATGCACAAACCCCAACGAGCAGCAGCAAGCGTACAGGTCTCATAATATAAAATAATGAGATAGTTTTTGATATCTTCGAAAATCATGGTCCTATGATATGTGGGTCCACCAGTTTAATACTCATGAAGAAGGGTACTCAAAAGTGATCCCCTGCGGATGGAGTATGTGGGATAGCCATGAAATAATCCACTGTGCCCATATTTTCTCCTTCGCTGCAGCCCTTGCTGCAGGCTTCTGGTGAGAGAGAGAGAAGAGAGAAGAGAGAAGAGAGAGAGAGGAATGAACGATAGGAAAATGAAAAGCAGTTATCTAAGTTTCTAGTATTACTTCAGAAGATGCTGGACCTCAATGCAAGGTTGACCGGTGAAAACTCAAGCCTGGCATCCAGACATCCAAAGCAGAACGAACACAAGCCGAGCCCATCATGAGCTAGTTGCAAACAACAAGGGCATAAGTTAGTCTTACTTTCCGACTTGAGTGAGTCAAGGAATCTGTAAGGCCTCTGGGCCTTACCTATCATAGAAGAAGGAAGAGAGCCCAATCCCAATAGTCCCCGTCCCTTACTAAACGAGGGAATCGAGGAGGGTAAGCTAGGTTTTGAGTCGGGGCTCCCGAACAACCCCCCCCCCCCTCCTCTTTTGCTGCGCTAGGGTTTCTGACGCCTTCTTCTCCTTCCTCTATATTTCCTTTGATCAACTATGTTAGGACGCAAGTGCCCTAACAAGTAGCATCAAAACCGTCAATGTAGAGCGATAGCCTAGCCCTCCACCAATATTGAGGGACTGTCATAATGTAAATGAGGCCGTGGTCTGGCAAGGTGGTCGAGGACTAGGGAGCAACTACCAGAGAAGAGCAGGGCGAGAGCCACTATTACCTTGCCCAACCGGAGCAGAACATGGGCCATATCCTGTGTCAGCAGTCCCAGCAGCTTGCTAGAATCAAGTAGTGGCTGGGACATGTGGAGGCGAGGCCCACACACAGCTTCGTTAGAAACATCGGCTCCAGCAGCCGTGGTGACAGACACCATGTTGATGAGGACTTTTATTCCACCCCAAAGTGAAACCCTAATGCAGTAGAGATGGCATGAGGATGGGCACATTGATCATTGTGAGTTTCCTCACATAGAGATCCCTATTTTTGGAAGAGGAAACCTCGCCGAATGGATGTTCCAAATAGAGTTATACTTCAAGATGATGAAGACGAAAGATCTGCACAAACTACCGATGGCAATTGACATAGTCATTTTTTCTAAATCACATGAATTTATCATTTATAAAACTAAAAAATACTAATTTCTAGATTTTAAAAAATATTTCAATATAAATATAATTAGATAAAAGGCTCCAAAAATAGTAAAAAAAAAAATTCAGATAGGTCATAGGGATATAAGATATTATCATGTAAAATATCTGAATTTTTCTCGAAGAACATAAGTTTTTATGATTTTTTGACTGAATGATGAAGAGAAAATCTATTCAAAAATTCAATATAAAAGAAAATTCAGATGATGATGTCAAAATGACAACAGTGCTCCAAGGAACACGATTCAAGTAGAAATAGAGATGTTCGATGATCATTGCATAAGTAATTATAGATAATTTAATTGATTAAAAGAAAATAAAATTAAAAAATATATACTAAATTAAATAATAATTTCAATTTTTAAAATTACATAAAATCTCACTAATTTAAAGAATAATTAACAGTATAACATGAAAAATAAAGTTCTAGTATCACGGCAATGATTGTTAAAATTATGAGTATTTGAGAGGATTATTGTATATTATCTATAACTCCAAAAGGCTCTCATTAAATATGGATAACATCAATAATCTCTAGTTTATTTTATAAAATTAAGAAATTGATGAAGTGAGTTAATAAAGCGTCTCCAGTGACTATCACCCAATGAATATGAGTTGGACAAAGGTAAAGTAAAATTTAAGGAGTTTCATCCTAAAGTCTGCACAGTAAAAGAAAATTCTTAATTACATTTGATATGCTCTAAGGAGATGACAACTCATCTCATGATAGATCACTTTGTTTTCAACGACAACATGTTCATCAATCAATTATAGATGATTTCATCAATGAATTCATGATATTTTTATTCAAAAAATCCTTCGTCAATTGGTAGCAACACTCTATGAATCACATTGATAAAAAAATTCATTAATAACTTGATCATTGGTCAATACCCTGTAGGAAAATCACGAGCTAAATTGATAAAAACTTACTGGCAAAGTATTGCATACTGCCCTCATAAATTTCTAGCCGAGTGCTTTTCCCCCGAAACCATCTCTCTCTCTGCCCATTTTTTGAGCAGTGTATAAGATGGAGAGAGAGAATGTACATCATTCTCTCTCTCATGTTGACGGCAGTTCTTCAAAGCTCACCACTTAGACTCTTGAATCCACAAGAAAAAATAAATCTTAGGTTTGTGTTAGATCAAGAGAAACATTGATTGGGCCTGTTCAGAGCCAGCCCATGTGGTTCTGCAGCTCAGCCGCTATCGAGCCAGCCGCCCTCCTTGATTCTTGTAGATGGTTTTGACTTCGAAACATATGATTGCACTCTTCTTCTTGTACTGTTCTTGCTGAGAGGGAAGAGAATTAATGGCCGCATGAGTCTGCAAGCAAGACAAGAAAATAACTTTTTCCTCTCAGATAATTAATAAAATTATGAGATAGATTCCGATATCTTTGGAAATCATGATCCTGTGATTTGTGGGTCAACGAGTTTTAGTACTCATGAAGAAGAGTATCACCTGCCGGACGCATCTAGAATGCTGCTTTTTATGCTGGGGGGAGGGAAAACGAAGGCACAGGAGCAAGAGCATACTGCCGCCTCTTCCGCATGCTTCTGGCGGATCTAGAGAGAGAGAGAGAGAGAGACGAATAAATGGTAGAAAAATAAAAACCGGTTATCTAAGTTATTACTTCTTTCAGAAGATGCTGGACCTGAACGCATGGTTGACCAGTCATCTTCCAAAGGTGGAGAACAGCCCAGTACGAACATGCCTCGCACGGGTGCTGATTGCTCTGCCAATAATGATCTTCTCCTTCACTGCCGCCCCTTCCGCATGCTTCTGGCGGATCTAGAGAGAGAGAGAAAGAGAGAGAGGAATGAATGGTAGAGAAATAAAAACCGATTATCTAAGTTATTACTACTTTCAGGAGATGCTGAACCTGAACGCATGGTTGACCAGTCAACTTCCAAAACCAGAGAACATGCGTTATACGGGTACTGATTGCTCTGCCAATAATGATTCATGGTAATTGTCAGAACACAATTCCCATCAAACGTAAATGTTCTGAAATCCAAAACTTTAGCTTGGCATCCAAACACCCAAAGTAGAACACAAGCCAAACAAAAAAAGGGCATAAATTGGACTAGTTTTCCAACTTTCAGAGTCAAGGAACCACCCAACTTTAGGATATTATGTTGCAAGCGGAGTCAACTCCCCTACTCCGACCCAGAGAGCAGTGTAAGTCAACTTAATAGAGAGGACGTAAGTCAAACATTTGCCACAAAGTAATTCTCAAGACGATTTACCCTGCCGATGACTGTTTCAATTGTTATTTTTACATAAAAATGAATATTTCATCATACAGGGCCTTGTTCTTCTCCTACATTAATTTATTTATTTCTTTATTTGAATTTTGCATTATAAGCACAAGTTCTCAAGTGGGATGCACAACCTTCAATGGGATTTCCGAAAATGGTTGAGAACACGAGACTAAATGGAAAGCAAGTGTAGAAAAGAACATTCTAGACCAGAAATGACACCCAAACAAAGAGCATTTTCTCTTTTTATAATTATGTTTTATCATTATTAAAAAAAACTCAAACACCTATAGTCAACGAAAGACCGTTTTCTAAAAGCAGTAAGTACCTTGTGTGTGTGACAGCAACTGTCGGATATATGATCATTTGTCCAACATACATCACGTAATTCCTTCTCGTGACTGACTTTCAGACCACCATATGAAGACCGTTACCCTGCAGAGCCTTCTATCCTCAGCAGATTTTATCAATGAGTTTCCTCACAGAAATCGCTACCATAAATGGAAGTATCACATTTAAGAGCACATCTTGCAAGCTGAGGGGAGGAACTACATCAACAGAAACTTCTGTCCAGCGGATTGAAGGTATCCCACTGCCTCGAAAGGGCAATGTTAACTCTTAACACTAAGCCGAAAGTTTCTAAATTTACACCATGCCTTTCTTCAGCACAGAAATAAGTGAGAAGTACATAGAAGGGCGCCCAACAAGCCCCTTCTTGGCCATAATCTCATGAAGGTCAAATGCTTTATTGATATTTCCCTGATTGCAATAGAACTTGATTAGTATCTGAAATGGAACGTAATCAATAAGCACAACAGCCTTCTGCATTCTAGCAAAAATCTCTTCGGCTTTCTTCATTGATCCTCTATTGCAGAAATATTTGATCAAGATGCTGTAAGTGATAACATCAGGCTGAACACCTCTCATTCTCATTTCATTGAAAAACCTTAAAGCAACGAAAGAATTTCCAAAATTACATGTTTCACTGATGAATATATTATATGTAATGACATCCGGAAAGAATTCATCACCAAGCATCTCCATCGTCTCCTTAAGTCGCAGAGCATCCTTTATGTTCCCACTATTTAAAAGAGAATGAATAAGCGCATTGTAAGTGAAGATATTAGGCCTGACTCCCCAGTGTACCATCTTATCTTTCATCTTCCATGCACTGTTGACATCACCACATCTTCCATAGCTATGGATGAGAACGTTCCAAATTAGTGGCTCAGGTACCATCAAAGTATCCAACATTTTTTTTAGAAACCCCGCAGCTTTAGCGGCATTACCCTGCTGGCAAAACCCTTGAATTAGGATCTGATAGGAGAGCTGGTCAGGTGAGATACCAAAATGAGGCATAACACTGAAAATAGAGCATGCTTCGTCCATATTTCCAATCTTGGAAAGCCCGCCAATAAGAATGTTAAAAGTGATGAGGTCCGGGAGAAGACCCTTCTTGAACATCTCAGCAAAGTACTTAAAAGCAAGTTTCATATCCCGTGATAATCGAAAACCATTGATAAGAGCATTGTATGCAACGTGGTCCAATGTGGTATTCCTTTTTGCCATAGAATTCCAAAGTTCAACAGCCTGGATCATGTTCCCTCTCCTACACCAACCATCGAGAAGTATTGTAGAGGTGATCAAGTCTGAAGCCATGTGTTCGTTCAATATTTCAACAAGAATCCTAGCAGCTTCAACAAAACCTCTTTCACAGAGAGCATGCACAAGTCTGTTCAAGGTCCTTTTGTTGGGTTTGATTCCACTTTTACACATCAAACACACAAGATCAAGTGCTTTTTCTACTTCATCAGAACAACAATATGCATCAACCATTGACTCAAAGGTTGCACAATTAGGGAAGACACCCAACTCTGACATCTCTATTAGAATCAAATTTGCGCTTCTGATGTCATTAATCTTACAAAGTTCATTTATTAGATGATTGTATGTAGGCAGATCAGGAATGATATGACTCCTTAACATATGATGCCTAAGTTGTAGAGCCACCCCAACCTTTCCTTCCGCACACAGTAACCTAATTAGCAGAGCAGGGTTGGAAATGTTCATTTTGAAACAAGGCACTGAGCTGCTGCCATTACTGGGACGAAAATAGGAACCACCTCGAGTGACCCTCCATATGCTTTTCCTGAAAAAATGTAAAAAAAAATCTTACCAAACTTACAGACTAATGTTAAAGAGTTTAAGAAAAACGCCAGCCAAAAATTAACTAGGGAAGAAGCATTGCATTACCATGATAAAAGACACAAATCTATCCAATGTACAGATGTAAATGTAAAGTCAAGACCCAGTCATGTAAGAAAAAGAAAACAGAGGTCAACCTAATTTTTCTCAAATGCTTCAATAACCCGAGTTGAATTGTATCTACTTCGCAGAAGATGGATTGTGGATCAGCATAACCAGACTCCTGCTTCAGAAACCAGTCCTGGACTTTGAGTTTAAAACAATCTTCAACCGCTACCACTGGGCTTTAGAATGTGAAATAAAAGACATAAGAGTCAGGTAATAAGAACGTCACTAATAAAAAAAGGTGAAACACTATAATAAAAAAATTATAAATGATACGTAATTTGCCTTTCAGCATGTTGTCATGCAAAAACTTGTTGCTTACTGAAACCAGCCTAATGTGAATTACTGAAATCAAAGCAAATTCTGACATCATTCAATTTTTTTATTGGGAAGAAAAAAATTCAGAAGATAATTCACGCTATCTTCACACTACAATGCTGAAGTCAAAATTGGATTTCATCCTTAGCCTTTGATATTTCATAATCGTCTTGTTTTTTAAATATAAATATTTTAAAAAGTGCACAAATTCACCAAAAAAATTAAGTGTGGCTTAGAAATGACTTCCAAAAGAAAAAACCTGGAGGCTGGAAACCAGTGGTTCCATAACCTAACGAGATGCTAAATCCAGAGGCCTACCTTTCTTTTCAAGTTTGGTCAGCAACATAATGAGCAATTGGACAGGACCTTTCGTGGTGAGAGAAACTACTTACCTATAAACTCCAAAGGAGCTGAGGATATAAAACAACAAAATGCAGATCCTAAAGATACCTCCCAGTGGGAAGCACCCAGAGGAAGAGCAAAATTGAACTAAATTATTGGCATTAAATAAAAAATATATATTTAGAGCATCTAAAGTTAGAGTTCTGTTAAAACCCTATCACGACAAAGCAAAAACAGCTATTAATAGAGAAATTTCCACTCAGTCCATGCATAAAATCTAAGTTATATGAAAATTTGTCAAGACATTAAATGAGGACCCTCAGTCGTTGTTCAAGTTCCCAATTTTTCTTTTTTTTTTTTTTTCTTTTTTTTTTTTTCACCTATACTGGAACAAAGTGCTCTTCAAGTCCAGCCTAGTTTCCGAAAGATGTGTGAAAACAACTCATTAAATTTTCCAGCAGAATGAAAGCACTGTCTGATATTGACCAGAGAGCACAAGATACATGATGAGTTACGTCTTTGGTATCAAAAACAGCCAGGAAAAGAGCATTTCCAACCTTTTAAGTCATTTTATAAAAACTCCATTTAAGGTTAAAGAAAGGTCTAGTTGCCTTATCATGAGGACACTTTTCAACTCGGGAAAACTCCATTTGAGCTTAAACAAAGGTCCATGTGTGAAAACTCTAAGCCTTGAAGTGTAAGATGTTATGGACACTTTTCTTCTTCCTCTTCTTCCTTTGAGAAAAAAATTTGGAGTCAAGCCCGCAAGCCCACAGATTGCATGTTTGCAGGAAATGTCAAAAGTGTATCATATGCTCGGGCAGTCTGCCGGACTAATAGGCCCACCAACACAATTTTTTCAATAAGAAAAATATTTATAAAGCGCGAGCAAATGTTGTTTCTTCCATGTTTGCAAATAGCAATGCTTTCAGACAAACCATGATATGAATCCATACTGATGGAAGAGTTTTTTGCTTCCCGATATTATAATGTGGTTCAATAATCAATTCAACTCAGCCTAAAGAGAAAAATAATAGAATCATTGGAATTTCGTAGAAAATCTTACAATGATGAGGGTCTGAGGGACCCTGATACGTGCTGTCTCTGCCAATATTGGGATTTTGTCTGCCTAAGAAGAAACCCTGATTTTCTCCTCATAATCAAACCGTTGAGCTAACATTCAAAATCCTAAAAATGATCCGATAGACATCACTAGACGATTGCCACAACCTGAATTCAGATAAATCAGGTTATCACCATAAGAACAAACAAATGAATAATGTACAAACCAAATGAATTTAATTGCGACATTGAAGTTGAATTTATCATGAACCAAGATTAAAATAATATTTTTGACCTTCCAGGAGTGATAAAACAGAAAACATTGCAGAGGACATAGAGGTAAGATAGGAACTAATAAAAACTAGGCAGTACTTCAGATACCTAAATCAGGTTCTGCGAGGCGGTTTTTTCAACATCAAAACTTATTTCAAGTACGACTTAGCAGTCACAATACTGCAGATGCTGACGCAAGGAATCTTTGCGGCAATAATATAAAAAATATGGCGCTTACATCTATTCTCTGCTAAATCACACCCGTAAGACGAATGAAGTTCCTACACCACTTCAAATATCTGCGGACAGCCCAAGGTTGTCGTCGAGTTCTTCCCTCACGCCGATGCCGTGCGCGAAAACAGCTGTCCAGCTATCCAGTCACAATACTACGGATTGCTCAATCAATCCATGATCACTTCTCCGAAGAAACCTAAGCCTGAGGAAACGGCGGAGGCCACAAACGCGCATCAGTCGATTGGATGCTAAATTTCGGCCAAGATACAGTGTGACGATTGCCAGAAAACCGGCGAGATTATTGCTGGACACCCCGCCGCGATTCGCCAGAATCTTCACAAATGTGGGACGCGAGGAATGAAGAGGCAGAATTCTGAAGGGATTGGTCTATCACATCTCCGATTTCCGGGACGGAGGCGGACCCTTCCGCCGCCGTTCGCCGCCGCCGTCCGAGCACGCGACGAGCAAGGGGGAAGTCTCTACTCCAGTCCGTTAATGTCTCTAATTAAATAATATTTTTTATATCCTCATAAAACTATTATATGATATATACTTTTTAAAAGTTGTATGTGTATCCTTTTACTTTGTAAAATCTGACTCTTTCCATGGCTCAGACTATTTCTAACCGATTTTCGAATGTTTTTTAATGAAACCCTAGTTTTGTTACCTGCGAGCGAATTTCTAGAATTATATGAAATTATATTTTTGATAAAAAAAATTAGGGGTAAATAGTGGTTGAGATTGACTTCGTAGTAAATATTTATTTAATGTGAATATTTATTTAAAACGCTCGATCCATCTAGCAAACCAGTCGTCGCTAGAGTTCCTAGTATCATGCCACAATGTCACCATCGTCTGTCGGAGTCTGCCGCCACCGCCACCTCCCCTGCTCAGACCGTCAACGCTATCCAACGTCAACCTTCATCTTCTAGGCACTCATGCCGTGCAATGCTTTGGAGCATCTTCTAGGCCATCTCAGAACACTCTAAGATGTGAAATTCTGGCGATCATCAGAATTCCATCCCTTCTCTAAGACTCTTGAAACTCTCAATTTATGTTAATTAATCAGTTCCAATCTTTTTTTTCGAATCATTGCATCCAATTGTCATGAACATTCATCTGATTTTGTTTCATGATTCGATCATTTGAATTTAGTGGAATATCTTTTGAATTAACAATCAGTAGAACTCATATTCTGTTTCTCTAATTTTTCTATATTTTTAAAAGCTTTCAATAGAATAAAAAATGTTCAAAAAATCACGAAAACTCATATTCTTCAAGAAAAATTCCAAATTTTTTGCTCTAAGTTTCCTTAAATCCTTGGGATCAACCTCAAAAATCCACTTATAACTTCTGAAGTTAATTAGGTTTTAATTGATATATTTCCTTCGAAAATAATTTCAAAAAATTAAAATACAAACATTTGCTTATTTAAATTTTTTAAATTTGAGTGATTTAAACACAATGACTGAATCACATCAAATGCCAACATTTTTACATTTTTACTCAAAGTAAAGATATAATCTCAAATGTAATACCAACATATTTACATTTTTTAATTTTAAAATAAAGACATAATCTCGAATATAATACCAACATATTTCTTTTTACCTTTAAATAGATATTGACTATAAAATATAATATACCAGACACATTTATCTGACACGTAGTTTAAAATAATGATATAATCTCATATATAATACCAACCATAATTACATTTTTTTAACTTTAAAATAAAAAGATAATCTCAAATATAATTATAAATTTAGTTATATTTTTAATTTTAAAAAAAATGATATAGTACAAAAAAAGTTATTCTAGTAAGATTTTACAAAAATCCAAAATTTTAAATAAACTCTTCAATTATTTGCTTTTTTTTTTAACATTAATATCTAGACTAATTGCTCCCATGAAATATTTCAATTCAACCTTATTTTGAACCCAAATATGTGTTTTTAACCATTTACATTATGTCTTTTTCATAAGAATGATGCATTTAATCTAATTAATTCAATCAGATTAATCTCATTATTGAATTGATAAGAACAAACCTAGGAAAAGGTGCATTTTATTCATCCAAGAAAATATTAAGTGTTGGATATCAAGTGTTGGACCTTTTGAGGGTCATAATGGAAAATATTATTTTCATATCATTTAAAAATGCTAAACTAAGGTCAAAGTAGTGCAAAGATATTTATTATTAATCACAAGAATATAAGGATGAGAAAAGGAGAGGAAAATGGGTTGTAGGATAATTTTCTCGAGAGTGATGTTGGTTTTTTTTCCTCACATGAATTAACCAATACCCAATTTAAACATGTTTAACTTAAGCAAATGTGCCATATGCTAAGCTAGAGACAAAAAAGCTGTTGGATTTTAATTTTTTTTAATTCATAAATATTAATAGGAGTAACTAGGGAAGGGAATGGAGGCTTGGGTATGGGGACCCACTACCATGTTGTATAGTAGAGCAGCTATGTGGCAGGGGGTGATGTGGCCAATATGAAATCCAGCTTATTTTTATCCATCAATTTCGTCTTAAAGTCAAAGGCCAGTAGATAATGGGTTAGATTGGGTCAACTCGGGCTCTGGGCTTACCCAATTTAGTGGTTCTCAGTGCGGGAGCAGAAGGTCAAGAGATTACCCCAAATAGACTTGCCTCCTCTGTTTTCATGCAATTTCCCCATAATCTCTGTTATTATAAGGATATTGGCTCCTCCCCCAAACGACGACCTTCATGAGAAAGTGGAGAATTTATAGCAGTAACACAACAAAGATTCAACCCTTTCATTGTCAACTGATGACTTGGATCCCTGCAAGGTAGTGGCGATCTGGGTCAGCTGAGAAGTCTGTTAAGGTCAAAGGCAGAAAATAAATGAGAAATAAAAAACCATTAATAGATAAATATGAGAGTGAGATGGGGGAGATATTCTCCTGAAGAAGGGTTTTTTTTTTTTTTTTTTTTTTTTTTGTTGGAGATTCCAAAAAAGGATACAGCCAACTTGGTGGCGTTGAAATCCTCCCCATGATCCTCCACTGAGAGGCTGTCGAGGTGGTCTCCAATCAGATATGCTTTCTCTGATAGAACCGATGAATATGGTTGCAGAGCTGATGGGCTTGTGGTGTTCTTCTTAACCTGCAGGAGCAGCTGAGCAAGGATGCTCCACAGTGCTCCCCTTGCTGGTGGATCGCTGGCCACAAAAGGGAGAGTCTCAAGCAACCCTCGGAAGAAGGGGATATCTGCAACAATCAAGTTTTGATGGGCAACTTAGTAAATTATCTTCCACAGTGATCCACGAAAGCCCTGCCCAGCTGTGCTGACTGGTTGAATACCAAGCTCAGAAAGGGAAACGGGCCCAGCCCGGTTCCTCTCCTGCGAGCCCTTCTGTAGCCCTTTCCCCCCTCTAATAAGGGACTAGCCTACAGCCCACATTCCGGGCTTTTCCCTTGGTAGGGACAGAGATCATGAGGTCTGAGTCCGGTCCAGCCCAATGATAATCTTGATGAACAGCTAAAGCAATGGAGTTCATACCAAGCTCAAAAAGGGAAACGGGCCCAGCCCGGTTACTCTCATGTGAGTCAGAGATCCATTGGTCTGAGTCTGGTCCAGGCCAATGATAATCTTGATGATCAGATAAAGAGAAATGGAGGCGTTCATACCCTGGAAAAGCTCCAGCGCAAGATCTGACACGTCCATGAGAATGTTTGCAATTATGACCACGGAAGTTCCGCAACAGCTGCCGACCTGGTGAAAATGATTTGTATTATCCAGAGATACAGCTGATTTTAAGTATGCTCATACTTTCAGGGAAATAATTCCAATACCTCATCTTTGTCAGGATGCTTGACAATGCCAGAAAGTAGCTTCAAGAGCTGTTCATTGGAAGAGATCTGCTGCGAGTAATGGTCGACTGTTGAAAGTACTTCAATTGATTGAAGAATAAGATCCATAACAGATACCCTGAGATGATTTTTGGGAAATGATGAGGGTCTGACCCATGATATCATCTACTCGAGAAAAAGTAGAGAAAAAGATGGGATTTCCAGAGGAGTAATGACCCAAAAAGAAAAAGAAAAGCGCCCACCTTTCTCAGCACTCCACTGTACTAACCCTCTCTCTAGATCTCAAATATTCGTAATTAGTATACACACGTATTTATTTGTTTATATAGCAATCTCATCCACGTTTTTATATCATAAAGTTTGTATAAACAATTATTCAAAGATAATCATGACAGCCGTTTCCTAATTGCTCTCTAGATGGGACAGTGGCAAACCTTGGAAGATGATGCGACATTAGTAGACATCATTGTCCTTCTTTTGTATCGTGGGATGATTATTTCTTTCTTTATTTAAAACGCAATGCCCTGTTTACCTGTAGGTTAGCCCAAACTGAAGATTGATGATTCATACTTGTTTGTTATTGGTTCATAAAGGTTTATATTTTAGGCGACAGATGGGAAGAAGAGTTATCTCCTTTATCCTGTTATTTCACTGAAATACTTCTAAAATGTAAATCATGGTAGTGTTTTACTATTCCTTTCATGATTCCAAAATTTTAAAGAATATGCTGACATCAATCAAGAAAATAAAGCAGTTCTGAATAAATATGATATTGACTCCACATTGGCCCCAAAATTGAATAAACTATGTAGGTAGTTAAAACATATTTCTGTAAAAGAATGAAATCAGTCTAAGCACAGAATGGATGCAACAAGAAGTACATTGCTATCTGAAGAAAAAGGAAGGGACTTTTCCGAGTCTTTAGGATAGCTAGGAGATGTGGCTCAGGAATGAAGATAAACATATTCTGCTTATTCAATGTATAAAAGTTTTATTACCTTTCAAGCTTGTGCTCATCTCTTTGTCTGCTCACCTCACATGATAATAGAGAGACAAAAAGATCTGACAACCCCAACTTTGTTAAAGACGGAAGAAGAATGTTAGCCACTTCTTCACGACTGACAACGGCTAACAATAGCTCCATGACCTGTCCACAGAAAACCAGCATTGTTCATAGAAAAATGAAAACTTTTTAGTTCAGACAAGAGAAACGGTGAAGAATAACCCAAAAATATTTTCAAGTGTTTTAACAAACAGCGCTACAGCTCGAATGCGATGGTTAACCAGTGAATTTGGATGACAGACAAACTAATAAGAACAGTCATTCAGAAAACTGTTTTCCCAAGTGTAATACAACACTTCTTCAAATGGTCGACAGTATGCAATATTTATATAACATATCCTACGTGTGAATGCAAACTTTACCTTTTCTAGTAACTGCAAATTTAATGTGTTTTCTGCAATCCATAGAACGCGCTGGAGAACATACTCAGGGGACAGCGCTTCAACCCATGAAATAAAGTATTCGCCTTGGAGACTAATGGTTAACAACCTGAAAATTGATGTAAATTACTTTAAAACTACCAAAATTCGGAATCTCCGAATTCAAGACTAAAATCCGTTTGCATCATAGACGCTACTCAATATGGTAACATTTTAATGATGGTAAGGTACACCAACATTGATACACACAAAACATTGTTCTACTCTCTCATAAATCTTCGCAAATGCAACAGGAAAGGGGAGCTGACCAGATGTAATTATCAACGTTTTCAGACAACTAGACGGGCAATCATCAGCATCCCAGAACTAGAGGCATTAGTCCAAAATAGTATGCGACTGCAGCCATCATCACCAAAATTGCTGGTAGAATGTGAACTTAGCAGGAAATGTTGGTTTTGATGAACAAGAAGTGCATAGTGTCAGGTTTGTCACAGGGAGTAGATGCCTCGAAAATTAAGGCATCTAGCATTTCTCAGTTCTAAATCAATACATCTACACTACCCATTAAGGAAAGCATTTTATCAATCATTACCGGCATAATTCGCAAAGGCAGGCAGTGTCATTCAGAGTTAATTGCTCAGCAACAGTTTGAACCAAACCAGGAGTAGAGTTGATGGCATTTCTAAGAACATCATGGCAAGCCAGATTCCCGATGATCCCGAGGCAAATTTCCTATAAAATAGAAACACATGAAAAACTAGCTGATGAATTGTTTCATATGTAAAAGCACACTGATACTGGACAAAAAACATTTAAATGGATTGTAAAAATCTTTAAATAAGAAAGAGGAAAAATTTGAGATTACTAAGACAAATTCCAAAAAAATATTGCAATTATAATGTACAGATCAATAAAACCATGAAGAGGTGCCAAGGAAAAAATCTTGAACGAAGTTTATCAGCTCTTGTTGTAGTTGAGATGATTCAACAACATCATCCGCAGTGGCTGTCTTGCATAGATTTTACTGTCAGGAATAAGAAGCATTGTTTTTTTGTCTTTCAAAAGGCAAAAATAGATATGGTCTCTCGTTGAACAGAAATAAAAACATTGTATAATTTAAATGGAGTAAATCCGATGTTGCTATTTATCTTAGAAATTGGCTGAGGAAATCCTTTTGTCAGTGTGAAAATAGTTGAAAACGTTAACAATAGCTTTAATATCATGATACAATAAAAATACACTCTTCAATCGTTAAAGTATATGTCACCAGTGTGAAACAGATAAAGTTACATAGGCAACCGGTGTATGCAGTAGCTTACTGTGACTCTAGCAGACTTGGAAACAGAAAGAGTCATTAAAAGCACATCTAGTAAGAAATTATCCACCTGCACACATATTGAAAATGGGTTATTATATCTGGTTCAAATGAATTGTCCCAAATTATGAGCAGACCTCCAATTAAGCAATATAATTCAAATGGGGATTAAAATACTTCAAAAGATTGAAATGAAACTTTTAGAAAGAAAATTACATATAGCAGAAAGGGGTTGAATACAGTCAGTTTAATGCATTGTAGGGCGTATCAGTTCCTGATCAAAAACATTTAAACCTGATTCTATCCAGAGAGGAATTCAATACGCCAAGTTAGATGATCAGGGTAGTGTAGTCGGGATAACACATGGTCTGGAGCTCTGATAGGCGCCCAGCACTCTTGGAAGAAGAACCAATTCTTTATTGATCAAGAAACTCACCTTACAAGGAGAGCGGGATCCAGTATTTATACCAGATCCCTAGGAGGTTCTAGACATACTGATGTAGACACGAAAAATAAAAGATACAGGGGGACATATCTGTAGACATGTAAAATATACAGGTTATTAAGTACATCACGACAACAGGTAGAAACTATTAATTCGGATAAAACGATAAAATTCTTTACACTTTCAAAAAATAATTGACATAAATGTCTGATACACGTAAATGAGAAACATTTTTAAAGATGAATTTTAAAAAAAAACGATAATTACCATGGCAGGTAACTGTTTGCAGTCCAAAACAAGTCTTATTTGATTCGTAGTTCCTCCAATTCAAACTTTTTTATTGTAAAGACTAAAACAAAAGTAGCCCAAGTATTGCTTTTTCTTTTAGAGTTGTTAAACTGCCGCACTTTTGCTTGAAAGTTCATCTACATTTTTGCATGAAAGTTCATCTATATCATTGAAAGTTAAAGGATTGAAGCATCACAATACCATCTAAATGCTTCGTGACATTGGATTATATGATTAATAATACTAAAACCCTCAGAAATCATTATAAAAACGCAGTTGCCTTCCAACAACTAGCGGGAGGAAAGAGACTAAAAGGAAGGGTCTTAGCATATCTCTTCTTGAAAGAGATACAAAGATTCCTTGAATGAAGAGATTCTTAAAACAATGTTCAAATCATATTTAAATATGAGTGTTTAAACTATACAAAAACAACCAAAGGCATCAAATCAGAAAATTCTAGGTAAGACTGATCATTAAAATATTTTAACTGACAATGAATAATACACTGATTAGGAAAGAACAAGAATAGAGAGCAGATATGATACCATGAATTTCGCATGTTCTCTGTTTGCAGCAAGGTCCCAAATAATGCAGCCACAGTCTTCCCAAACATCTTCTACTACCAACGGTCCAGGATGCCCTGAAACTCCAATGCTGTCACCAATTTTTCGCAGTTGTTCAATCTTTGATATCATTTCATCACCCCAGGCGGAAAGAGAAATATCCTTAGTACATAATCCTGGATGGCTTACTTCAGATTCCTCAACAGATGTATTCTCATTGTGAATACTTTCAGAAGAAATTTCTGGCCTCACATTACTAGGTAAAAGTTTTCGTATAAGAGAGATAATATAGCTGGGATCTACTGTAGTAGAAGTGCCAGATAACTGCATGATAGAAAGTAAGATTGGGATCAGCATTTTTTTATTTGAAAAAAAAAATCAGAATCCAGGGAATAAAAAAACTACAAAAGAAAGATTAACGCAGTTGTTGCTGATATCTGTAAAAGATAACAGCTCCTAAAAGACGATGCAGCATTGAAGATGGCGTTAAAGTGTCTGTGCGATATATTTAGCTAGCAACACAGGGTTCCGAATTGAAAAACCAGCGGGATACATTTTTGTTTTCAACTCTGGATAGAAAGACACGCTCAGATGCAGCCATTACGGGATGATCTGTCCCTAGTAGAAATGCCGAAAAGAAGGAACCCTCGTGTTCTGAAGTAGAATTGAGTATTCAATCTAGGCACACAATTTTGGAAAGCCCCCATATGGATTGACAGGCAAATTTTACTTTACCAACATGATCACTTTTCTAATTGTAAGCACCGGTTATCCAAAGCACATGAGGATAATTAAGAGGGCGTGGGCGTCGAGAGATTGAAGCTGAACTCCATTAGCATTGATTTTCTCCAGTATTGTGAAATAACGACAACAAGAAAATGCACAGTAACATATTCCCAGAGAAATGAAGGCGCTCCCCACTGTAACTGTTCCATTGTTTTCCCTACGCACATAACCATGGAATTCAACCGCTCGATGATACGGAAAAGAAAACATCAATGGGAAGGCGATGAGACCGTGGGAAAAAATCACCCAAGCACACCTTTTCCATCATCACACCCCACAAAAATCCAGAAACAATATCGTACCTCTACCAACCAGGAGCTAGAAAACACCAGGAAATAACTTAATCCAGCCATGAAAGATTCTATCAGCATAACCTCCAATTGAAATGTTTCCCAGTTCGACGTATGAGTTCCGAGACACACAGGGTGGCGGGGGAGAAGAGAGAAGTCGAAAATGGAGACACTGGTATAGAGACGAAGCAAACAAAACCTCGGTGGACGGGGCAAATGGCAGGTGCGTAGGAGCTTCTTCTCCCTCGCCGCCTCCTCCTGCCTCATCCTCTCCTTCTCCTTCCTCCACTCCCCCTCCCTCGATCTTCACTTCCGCTTCTCGCATCTTCTTCTCGAGCGGGCAATTACAAAAGGCAGAAGCTTCTGCTTGTCTCCTCAGTTAAATAGCAGCCGGTTCAAACCGGTTGAGGTATGATGAATCCGACCGGTCCAACCCGGCCCGATTTGCCCCGCTCGTGATCCGGATCGGGATCGGATCGCCCCACAGCGGAGGAACCGAAGCGCCGTCCTTGCAGCGGAGCTGCTCTCTCCTCCTCTCTTCTCTTCTCTCGCCCTCCCCATTTTTCTTCTTCCATGCTACCTTGCAGGCCGATTATTCTACGAGAATGTTGCTGCAGAAAGCCCTAGCCCACGCCGCAGTGGCCTCTCCATCGCTCACAATCCCTTCTGTTCGGAGACCACTCAGATCTTCTGTTCCCCTTATCGCCTGCTCGTCGTCAGTCCGATCGGAGGCAGCGAGCTCTTCCTGCAACGAGAAGCAGACAGAGGAGAGGGCGGGACCGATTGCAGATCCGCCATCAAAGCTTTTCGAGTCCGCGGCCGTCTCGGCGGGACCCTACCCCGGGGGACTCGGCCCCCACACCGGTCGCGATCCTAACGTGAAGAAGCCGGGGTGGCTGCGGCAGAGGGCACCGCAGGGGGAGAAGTACTCGAGGCTGCATGATTCACTTGCCGAGTTGAAGCTCAACACTGTGTGCGTCGAGGCCCAGTGCCCTAACATTGGGGAGGTGGGTGAGTTGGCTTTAGAAATGTCCTCCGTTTTCTTTTTTTCTGTTTCTTCTTCCTCGTTTCATCTTTCCAATATTTTGGTCTCGTACTAATCATTCTCTGATGAGTTCTAGCTCGCTGTCTCAAATCTGTGTTTGGATCAGAACTGGCTGCTTTTCTCGATCAGAATATGGATTTTTCACCGTCACGTTGAACTCTAGATTTCTGCTTTTGAGGATTTAGTTCTGTTTAACACCTTTTTTTTGTCCATTTAGGTTTCCAAATTCCATTCAATACCCTTTTTTCTGTTCTTTTAATCTTCCAAATTCTTTTTTTGTGCTTTTAGTCTTCCAAATTCTTTTCAGCACTCTTTTCTTGTTCATTTAATCTTCCAAATTCTTTTCAATATCATTTTTTTGATGATTTAATCTTCCAAATTCTTTTCAATACCATTTTTTTGATCATTTAATCTTCCAAACTCTTTTCAATACCATTTTTTTTATCATTTAATCTTCCAAACTCTTTTCGATACCATTTTTTTTATCATTTAATCTTCCAAACTCTTTTCAATACCATTTTTTTTATCATTTAATCTTCCAAACTCTTATCAATAGGTTTTTTTTGTTCTTTTAATCTTCCAAATTCTTTTCAATACCATTTTTCTGATCGTTTAATTTTCTAAACGAGGCCGTAGTTTACAGGTGATCGTCTACGTAATCATCTCAATTGGAGAACTTAATTATCACTCAATGCGGGCTCCTGGTTTCCTCAACATCCCTAGCTGTAATCATGTTTTCCTTTAGTCATTAATAATATCATATTCTTAGATCCATCTGTTATTAATTTGCGATTTTAAACTATTCTCTGCACCGGAAACTGTCAATCATTCTGTATCAGATCGCTGTTCATGATTTATACATCATTTTCGAATCATTTGTGGCATCAGGGTTATGGATTATCCTCTAGCAATTAATCCAGCTCTTGAAGATTGCGCTCCATTGATGGGGTAGCTTGCTTTTTTTCTTTTCAATTCTTCCCAATCCCTTGCTCCATTGATGCCATTAATGGGATCTGGAATGGCAGGAAGAGCTAAATCCAGCTCTAGAAACTATTCCAGCTCTTGAAGTTCACGCTTCTCCTCTGTCTTACCAGTAAATACTCACTTACATTATGGGTTAGCATGCTTGTTTCCAATCCCCATGACCTGCTTTTTTTGCCAATTCTGCCTATTCCTGCTTCATTGACGCCATTAATGGTATTTGGAATTGCTGGAAGAAGCCTGAAGGATCAGAACTCCCCACTTACAGAGTGTGGTGCTTGTTTTTCAGTGCTGGAATGGAGGGGGAGGTGCAGGTGGTGAAGGGGACGGCATCGCGACTGCAACCATCATGCTTCTTGGCGACACCTGTACTCGCGGCTGCAGATTCTGTGCCGTCAAAACCAGCAGAAACCCTGCTCCACCGGATCCCATGGAGCCTCAGAACACCGCAAGGGCAATAGCCAGTTGGGGGTGAGTCTCCATTTTTATCCCTTAGAACACCCGAAGTAGAAAAGAAGGGGTCGATCCCTCTCTCTTTCCCATTTCTTCATGATGGGTGGAAATTCTTCAGAAAAAGATGAAAAGATTTTTACTTTTTATGGGTATTTTTAATTGTTATGAGTGGATAAGAAAATGTGGGTGTGTTCTAAAAAAATCTCCTTTTTTTTCTGGCAGCGTGGAGTACATTGTACTAACTAGCGTTGACCGAGATGATCTGCCTGACGGAGGGAGCGATCACTTTGCGCAGACAGTCAAGGCTATCAAGGTGTAGAGATTATTTTCTAATGATGCTAGTTGACTTTTGCATTGCATTTTGCTTCAATTATCGACGGATGAAAGATTTTAAGTCAACTCGAAGATCTAAGGTGGAAGAGACACCGTTGACTTTCAGAGCCTGAAGCCGGAGATCTTGGTTGAGTGTCTGACGTCGGACTTTCGAGGGGACTTGGAGGCGGTGTCCAATTTGGCCACCTCTGGGCTGGACGTGTTTGCCCACAACATCGAGACCGTGAAGCGCCTTCAAAGAATAGTGAGGGATCCTCGTGCTGGGTAATAACCCTACATTTTTCCTTTTCACAGTAATCTCAAGTTCTCAATTTCTCTCTCCGTTGACCATACAACTGATCTCCAACTGTAGCGGGTGGGAGCTTATTCTCTGAGTCCAACATCTTGATTCTTGTGGGTCTTTCATGCCAGAAGTTTTATATCTGCGACTATTCAAATTCTCTTCTGTTCTAAGTTCGATCGAAATAGAGTGGACTTCTTCGTTCCTCTCGTCACTATATTCTGACGTCATTAAGAAAGACAACCATGATCAGGTATGAGCAGAGCTTATCCGTTCTCAAGCATGCAAAGCAGTGCAAGCCGGGAATGGTGACCAAATCGTCCATAATGCTGGGCCTCGGAGAATCAGACGAGGAGATAGAGAAAACCATGATGGACTTGCGGGCCATGGATGTTGACATCCTGACTCTAGGACAGTATCTGCAGGTGGGTTGACTCTTGAGCGAACCCACGTCAACTGTTTCACTGTAGAACCGACCAATATCAGGAGTTGACTCTTTGTCCCCACTTGCAGCCGACCCCACTGCACTTGACGGTGAAGGAATATGTTTCTCCCGAGAAATTTGCCTTCTGGAAAGAATATGGGGAGCAGCTCGGCTTCCGATATGTAGCCAGTGGTCCTCTGGTTAGTTCTTCCCCTCCCACAGCCCCTCTCCCTCTCTCTCTCTCTCTCTCTCCCTCTCCAAGTTTTAGTCAGCTCCTTCAATGTCTCTGGTTTCTCTCTCTCTCCAAGTTTTAGTTGGCTCCTACAATGTCTCTGCTCTTTCTCTCTCTCTCTCTCTCTCTCTCTATCTATCTCTCTCTCTCTCTCTCTCTCTCTCTCTCTCTCTATCTATCTATCTATCTATCTATCTCTCTGTCCCCCCCCTCTCTCTCTCTCTCTCTCTTCTCTCTCTCTCTCTCTATCTATCTATCTCTCTGTCCCCCCCTCTCTGTCTCTCTCTCTCTCTCTCTCTCTCGCTCTCTCCAAGTTTTAGTTAGCTCCTACACGCTCTCTCTCTCTGTCCCTCTCTCTCTCGCTCTCTCCAAGTTTTAGTTAGCTCCTACACGCTCTCTCTCTCTGTCCCTCTCTCTCTCTCTCTCGCTCTCTCCAAGTTTTAGTTAGCTCCTACACGCTCTCTCTCTCTGTCCCTCTCTCTCTCTCCCTGCGAGATCATCAGGTTTGATCTAATTTGGGTCCGGTGATCTAATGTTGGATGGTGGGTCTGGCCTACTTTTCCAGGTTCGATCTTCCTACCGAGCAGGCGAGCTGTTCGTCCAGAACCTAGTGAGAGAAAACAAGAGCTAGGAGCTCTCCATCAGCTCCCGTAGGACAGGGAGCCGTTCAGATCAGCATCAACGGCCCTGATGATCATAAGAACAGCCGCCCAGAAGTGAGATGTTAGCAGCCGTGATGTGAGGGAGAAACAGTCTCTCGCCTCTTTTAGAGAGAGAGAGAGAGAGAGATGTAACAAGGAATAATTATTTTTATATAGACATTTATTTTTGTGGTTACTGATGCAAAATTGATTTTATGTTTAGTATTTATTCACTATGACCGTTTCTATGGCCTGCGAGATATAAGAAAAAATAATTATAAAAGCATACTAGTCAATAAAATAATCCCTCCAAATGGCACATTTAGCACTACATATTAATAAAATATTCACCATTCCATTAAAAAACTGTTTATTTTCAATAATCGATTAAATTGGGCAAGAAATTAATTAAAACAATTTTCAAGATTTGAGATACCAATTTTAATTTAAAGTAATATAAACATTTGAAAATTTCTCTCTCTCTCTCTACTTCCGTCCCAAGTAGGCCCCACCGTAGAGAGAGAACGCGCGCCCAAGTGAGGGAGGGAGCGAGCGAGAGAGAGAGAGAGAGAGAGATGAAATCGTCTTCGAAAGCTGGGAGGGGGAAGCGTCGCGAGGGAAAGAGGAAGGAAGAGGTGCCGGAGCAGACCCTAGTTTTGAGGCAGCGCCTCCATGACGTTCTGAGCCTCGGAATCAAGTACTCCGTCTCTTCTGGTCCCGGTTAATCTGTCTCTCTTGTATTCTACTCTGTGTTGATGGTAGGTACTTGATTAACGGGGCTGTGCGAGGATTTTTCATATGACTCATTACTATCAGTAGGCGATGCGAAATCCGATCCTTATGTGTTATCCAGCTTCATTCCTACTTCGATCGAATTGTTCCAATTTTTTTCTCCTTCTTCTCAAGACAAATATCACTACTGGTGCAGATTTTTCTTTCTCTTGTATCTCTCGTTAAAGGAACTCTGTCATTGAGATCCCTGTCCGATTGGGACTCATAGTGCTCACGTTGTAGACAAAATATCGTTGGCAACACTTTGTATCATAAGCCGTTTCTTCAGACCATCGCGCCCCCCTTTGTGCTCAAATAAACCATCATCTCCGTTTTACTTCAAGAAGACGAATCCCCCCACCCTTGTTTTTCTCTAATTGGCGTCCAGATTAGGCGGTTCTGTGAACAAAATTTTAATTATCTGCGGACGTGTTGGACACTCATAATTTTGATCTGTTAGCAGAATCCACAGCCGATCACTAGATCCGTTCCCTCATGCCTCAGGCCAAATTTGAATAACATCCGTCTTTTACCATCAGATTATGATCACTTCCTTCACATCGATGCCATCAATACCGACCCATTTCGAAAATATTCATTTTTTTAACCCTCTTTCCTCACGCCTAATCAAAACTTCTTAACCCCCGAAGCAGTCAATACAAGAATTCTGTGTAGGTCATGTGGACTCTGAACCTCCAGACTTGTGGGTAAATTTCAGGTCTTGGGTGAAATAGCTTAGTTGCGGTGCCAAACAGAGAGAGTAAGTCATAAGGCGATGTCTGAAATCCAATGCAAAAACATGAATATAAATTGTAAGTTTTGTGTCTAGGAAAAAGAATTCTAGGACTCTAGCTTCATGCTACTTTTCCCCCCTTTTTCCGTAGAATAATTTTCCGCAATCAGTATTTACTATTCTACCACAACATTTCAGAAATTTTATCTTTTCATTCCTGAAAGTTTATTTATCAATCCATGCCTCTTGCAGGTTTTGTGCTGATAAAAAAAGAAAATGGCAGTGTCAAGATGTTGAGATCATGGGGCATGCAGTTCGTTTGATGTCCACATTTGTTGGTTGTATCTCTTCGAATATATTACAGCATCCTCTCATTAAGGTCTGCGATTTTGATTGAAACACTGGGAATGCACTTGGCTGGGCATGATCCTATTTTTGACGTGTGATACTTCCTTTGGGTTCTAACTGCTTTTTAACAACGATAAGCATCATAATCATATTCTTATTTTGATTTAGTTCTTCTGTCTACTTTGAGAAAAACTCTGGAACAGAATGCTCATTTAAGAAGCCTTGTAGCTTTTCTCATGGACTATGCCTTTATGTGTATGTTATATCCAAAACACGACTGCCATCGTCCTTTTGTGGTTTTTCTATAGACCTCAGCAAAGCCTGGTTCTGTCTCAGATAAGCATCAATTGCTTGGGATAATTATTTCAGACTCGACTATTAGGCCCGAGTCCATAAAATCTAGCTGGACTTAGCCAGGTTTCTGGTCTAGCCCTGCCTTTAAGCACCTGGCAAAGCTGTAAGAAAGGAGATGAATTAAGTGTATTGCCAATATAGTGTATGTAAGGGTAAAACAAGTCTGACATTTGGACACTACGGTGAATATACAAGTACATTGTGAAAGAGTTTTACCATTGTTCACTTTCGGGTATGATAGCAGTGAGAATTTACTAGAAAAACAGGATTGTGTCTGATATTTTAAATGATCCATAAAACATAAATAATGAGGGTTTCTTGGTTATTATATTGAGGTCTAAGGTCATCGGTTGATAGCTGTCGGAATTCTACACTTTGCTTGTTTCCTTGATTAACCGTTTTATGCCACAAAAGTGATATTTGATTGGTTTATTTATCTATTTTTCTCTATCCTGCGATATATTATTTTCTTCCTACTCATAGCATGTTTGGTCTGGACTTGACCTCCCAGGATTCTGTGTCAGATATGTTTGTGGCCCTGGAAGGGATCCTCCAATCAGAAAATGAGACAGTACTAGGACCGGCAACAAATGTCACAGAAAAATTATTTTTAATTTTAGGGAGCTCCATACGACAGTATCATTATTCAGACATCGTTCTTCCTCTGTCAAAGTTGTTATCTTTCCATCAGTCGGCTGTCTTAATTTCAAGTGCAGTTGCCCTCAAATGCGTTCTATTGAACCTAGGGTTACGGGCGCGTGAAGAATCGAATGCAATTTGGGACGCTATAAAGAAAACGAAGGCAGTCGAGAGCATTTTACACATTTTTCAAGGTTGCATTTCAGGATCACGTCCTCTTGATTATTTCTCAGAGACTGCATCGCTTCTGAAAGAAATTCTGCTGAGATGGCCACCTTCTAGGTATCCAGCCTGGAATAACATTAAATTGATGGCTGGACCAGTAACTTCCAGTGCAGACTATGGCTCTTCAGTGTTATTTTCCATTCTTCAGTTATATTCTACGTTAGGTATCATTCTTAAATTTCAGCTTCGTTGTCACCACATCTCAGAGAAAGATGTGTTTTCCCTCCAATTGTTTCTGAATCCTGATGGTACTAACTTCTCTTGGCCATATGCGAGCAGCTCTTTGTGGTGATGTGGCCATAATGATCTCAAAGAGAAAAGAGCTTGTGTCTGAGATGGTGTTATACATGCAACGCTCGCACCCTACCAATGTCCGAATTCAGGCGCTCACAGTGTTCCGAAATTTAACTGTACGTTTAGACCAGTCACCTTAGACTTTTGAATTATTTGTGCATATAATTTTGTCTTTGAAGATGACGGAATTCACCTCCTTAAATACATTTTTGGACTAAATTTATGGTTTGATTGTTACTTCCATGATCTAGATTCAGTCTTTCTGTTTTCTTGCTCGCAGAGATCTGAGAAGGGATGTCACTCATTAATAAGTTTCTGCTGTGAATCTCTTGTTCAAGGGATCATTGATGCCATGTGTGGATTGTGGTCTTCTCACTCTAGAAGGATCCTGAGTGATCGGATGCCTTTAGCCACTGCAGCATGTCAAGCGGCACTAATTACTCAGTGGTCTGGGGGGCACCATGCTTGCTTTTGGAAGCTTGGGATCGATAATGTTCTCCATGATCTTCTTCTTGGTGATTATAGAAGAAGTAATAGTCAATTGGATTCTCCTGATGAGCTGAGAGCTGCAGTTTATGATAACATCAGCGATATAAGAAACTACATATGGGATATTCTTGGGTTTCTTGTGAAGCACTGTGAAGACTCTCATTTTCAGAGCAAAGAAAAAGCATCCTACGTAGACACTCTTATCCATTGTGCATGGTAAGATTACCCATTTCGCATTTCTATCAAGATTGCTATGAATATTTATCTTTGAAATGAGTCATCATATGAATCTCTTTATCTCCCTTTTCTTTGCTTTGGTAATCTTCGTAATGGGCATACATCTGTAGGTCTTTTTTTTCTTGACATAGTTTGGTGGCTGCGGACCTGATGTTTATGAGATCTTCCTCCAAATATTATCACATCCTTAGCTCCTGTACATCCGAGGCAGAATCTGTTTCAAGAGCTGTGACAATGATGGTCTTCTCCCCATGCAATTACATTGCATCAAGAACAAGAGACATATTATGGGAAACTGTAAAGTCTGGTAGCAATTATTTAGAGGGCCTTATAGACAAGTTGAGACTGAGCTATGTTGCCAATGTCCCCATGCCATCCGACAATCTCCAAATGGTAGTTGACTTGAGCAGACTGGCATTCTATGCAAGTTTGCCTCAATTTCACGGCTTAATTCTACAGAGGTCAACGTCAGGAATTCTGACTGCAATCATCAATAAGTGCATAAATGGCAAGGTCCACGTTCACAGATCAAGCATTGCCCCTTATCTATTTAGTTCCAATGCCAGAACATGCTGCTGGAATGACACTGAAGACTGTAAAGCGGAGAACATCATCTTACTTTACAGTCTCCAAGCTCTTTCTCAGTTGGTATTTTCTTCTGAACTTGTAAATAATCACCAGGTGTTAAGTTCCAGATTTGATATGCCGAAACCCCAGAGTCTCTTGTCCAGCCTCCAGCAAATAGTGAGCAACAGCTTCCATCGAGATTTGAAGTGGTATGCAGCGTACTGTCTGAGCTCCTTCGGCTTCTATGGCTTTCCTAGCAGTCTGGGGACGAGAATGGAGAGCTCTCTTAACGAAGATGAATTTTCAGACCTGCAGCTCATACTTCCAAACGGAAAATCCCAAGGAGTTCATGGTGCCATCCTCATGGCACGGTGCCCAGCCTTGCTTCCTCTTGAAAAACTTCCTTCTAAAGATAAAACCTTGTCTTCTGAAAGTGACAGATCTCCACAGCATCCTGCAGCATCCAGACTAGTCATCCATTTGTCTAGTAATGTAGACAGTGATGCACTGATGAAGCTATTGGAGTACATTTACACGGGGCATTGCCGGGTAGACGACGACACGCTGAAGCCATTGTCGATTCTAGCTAAACGGTGTAATGTGAAATCTCTGTACGATATGCTGAAGAGGAAGCAACCCAGATGTGGTATGCCTACTCCCAGCTGTAACTTCACTCAACTACTTACGCTTGCCGGGCATCCATTTACGTAAGTTTCCTTGCTCTATCGTGCCATTAATTGTTGTATGATTTTCTGGATAATGATAAAATGCTCGTAATGAGCCGCAATTTCTGGACGTTATCTAAACCCATCAGTTACTATTTTTATTTTTTTAATTAACTCATTCGGTGGAGCAAAATGGTTGAGTTTATATGGTATTTATAAATATTTTTAATACTTGGTTTTTTTTTTTTTTTTTTTTTTTTGTCCACGATTATCTGGGAAGAAAATCTCCAGTATACTAATATTGTGTTTTTATTTTGGGTTTATGAAATATTTATGCAGTGACATCACATTGGAAGCCAAGGATAATGAGGAAGCATGGCATTGCAGCACGTGCCAATCCTCGCTCGCTCACGTGCACGCCCACAAGATTATTTTGATCTCCAGCTGCTCATATATGCGGGCATTGTTTCAGTCCGGAATGCAAGAAAGGTAACTAATCTCTGCCTTGTATTGACCAATTGAAGCTCTACAGCACATCCTGGGCTGAAGCTGGAGTGCCCGACTGCCGCCCATTAGAGCCCATTAGAACTGTTCACCCATTAGATTTCGATCTACTTACTCCTTTGCCCAGTTTCCTGTTTATTATGATTTCTGCTCTTTTTTTTCTTTCTGTTGAAGATGACTAAAGTCAACGGCTGTAGCATCTTTAATCTCATATAAGTAAACATGCATCTATAAAAGTGTGAAGTCTTCCTTAGGTCAACCCTACTTCTTTGCCCAGTTTCTCTCCTGCTGCTTAGTTCTGATGGAAATGGTTCAATTCCATGGCTCTAATACCCATAATTCCATAGTTTTCTCGGTCATCCCCATTTTTTCCATAGAAAATTGGTCAACTTTCATTGCTCTAATATATCCATATGGTTTGATGCTTATATTATCTATGTATCTCAGTTATTCGCAAGTTATCAAGGTGCCCATATCCCGGGAAGCCCTCGTCAGACTGGTCACCTGGTTCTACTCTGGCGATCTCCCAAAGCTTGAGTTCCACTGCGGGTGGACCCAGATGGACTCTGATCGGCAGTTCCTGGAGCTGCTCGTCTACCTGGAGCTCTCATGGCTGGCGGAGTTCTGGTGCTTGGAGGATCTGCAAAGAGAGAGCTTGGATGTGGTCATCTCCTGCATAGAAACGAGCCCAAGCTTCCCACTCAGGATCATTGAGTCTGCCGCCGGCCTCCACCAGCACGCCGCCGTCGGCGCCGCCATCCGCCGCCTGGCCCCGCTCTACCCCCGGCTGAGGGATGCCGGAGAGCTCGAGGGCTTCGACGAGGCAATCGTCCGGACGCTTCGATCAGAGTACGTTCACTTCTCTCAAGAGACTCCTCCCAATTATTGATTGATGAGTCCGATATCTTTGGGTCAGCTGGTTTATAATTCTCACTCGATGATGAAAATTAAACCCTCCCACATTAATTGGATTCATAGGGAAGTAAGTGGTAGGTTGTATGTTGAAAGCTTCTCACATTAATAATATAGAGTTGACCTGAGTCATATTTAGTAAAGATTCTGGGCTGGTCAACCACCTCTAGTTGGGTTCATAGGGGAAGCAAGTGGACGGTTATATGGAGAGATGGAGTTGACCTTGTCATATTTAGTAAAGATTCTGGGCTGGTGTTCAGGCCCCTCTAGTTGGGTTCATAGGGAAGCAAGTAGACGGTTATATGAAGAAATGGAGTTGACCATGTCGTACTTAGCAAAGATTACGGGCTGGTTAACCCCCTCTAGTAGGGTTCATATGGAAGAAAGTGGAAGGTTATCTGAAGAAATGGAGTTGACGTTGTAATATTAAGTAAAGATTCTGGGCTGGTCACCCCCCTCTAGTTGGGTTCGTAGGGAAGCAAGTGGAAGATTATCTGAAGAAATGGAGTTGACCTTGTTATATTCAGTAAAGATTTTGGGATGGTCAACCCCCTCTAGCTGGGTTCATAGGGAAGCAAGTGGAAGGTTCTATGGAGAAATGGAGTTGACCCTGTCGTATCTAGTAAAGATTCCGGGCTGGTCAACCCATGGATGACCGATGAAGAAATTCCTTGTAAAAAAAAGTGTAATCCCATTCATTATCACCCCAAGAAATCCCCCAACAAGAAAGAAAAAAAAAAAAGGATGAAGTGGAAATGGCAAGTAAGAGGCGAAGAACACTGGCGGCGGATCTCATTTACCGCTTAAATATTCTTCTTCGTGAGATGGATGTCTACTAAGGGCTTGCAGCGTTGACCGGAAAATTGTCCACAACGCGCAAGCCGTCCTCTGAGGCGATTACCGTAGTGCAGCTGCGGAGATGAGAGAGAGAAGAAGATCAGGCAAAAGTCAAAGGTGGGTACCACCGGAAAAAGGCCCGCGTAAATATTTTTTTTATAAATTTGGGCCTCAAGGTTAGGCCCGGCCCAAGAAGAGCCCATGAGCCCGCTGCCCACACAATCAACCACTTTGTAGCCACTAGTTCCTACTCTTCCCCCCAGCTCTCCCGGGACCCACCCGTACGTTGACTTACGCTTTTTTTTCCAAAAATGGAAAGAACACGAATACAGAACGAGAATATATACCAAAAAAGTGGGAAGGGGATTGGACTTACGGGAGACCGGAGACTACTCCATGGTCCACCACTCCGTCGATCCGGTCGAGCTCCGCAGCCACTTGAGCTGCGTAGAAAGAAGAGGGCCTCGTCAACGTGAGCAGAAAGGAGAGAGAGAAAGAAGGGGACTCCAGAGATCGTTTCAAAAACCTAGAGAGAGAAAAGCTGACGTACTCAGATCACGGATGGGGGAGGTGAAGATGACGTCGAGAACGTGGTGCCCTTCCTTAGTGACCAATGGGAAGTCCCCCCCCGATGGACCTGCGTATCCGGTGGCCGGTCTCCTCCAGACCTGCGAGCTTAGACCAGAGTCAACAGCTTTCCCTCGCAAGAATCATAGAAAATCATCTGAATGTAACGTGTTAAGATATAAACATGTTAGCAGGGAAGAGGTTTATATCATCCGATCTGCAGCAGCTTCAATTTGTTTTATTTTTCATTTTTTCTCATTGATTTGACAAACCAAAAGGAGCAGCTCAAGAGAGTGGGGGGTCACCTCTGCGTCGCCCAAGAACAGATCATCTATTTCTTCGGCGGTTTCCAGCCAATTACCCTGTTCTTTTGAGCACCCATTAGGTCAAACCACGATGCCATATTTTCTGGAATCCATACTGTTCAAGATGATTCTACTTACGGATTCGATTAGAACCGGTACGGACCCGTCAGGATTTATGCTGTACTGGTCTTCGTCAACGATGAATGCTAGCTGACCAGCTGATCTTATGATGGACTGCCATACAAGAGCCGCTGTAAGATACCACTACAAGGAATAGGAGAGAGTGTAGAGCTCCTCACTTTCTCTTCCATTATGGACTCCCCTCCCTCGAGTTTTCTTCGACCGATGACAGCGGCCAGTGTTCCCTCTTCGACGACGTCGGCATCGTCAAAGGCAAAGTCAATCTGGAAAATAGTCAACGCGGTCAGTTCAGTTGAGAACATCCATGGGTGGTGCTTAATGATCTGGCATGGTGTCATGGTGTCAGGGAGCTGTCGGACCGACATGTTATAATACTCACAGAACCTAAAACAAATGCAACCAACTTATTGGGCGACAAGAATTTGTGCACACTTGAAGACTATCTCGGAAGTGGTCGAGTGGAATTCCAGCTTTCGCGGCTTCACTTGCACTGGAAATGGACCTGCAGTGATGAGCAGCAAGGGGTCATTGATTCTCGGAGATTTATAAAAAAGATTATAAGTGAGGGGATTATAAAGAGCATAATTGCATGCTAGTTTATGATAATATGTTGAGCTTCGAACACCAAACCAGCCATGATATTCGATGAGGCTTCTTAAATTGATCTAATTATGAAATTGTGTTGCTCATTGGTGCAAAACTGTTCGCTCATGCATCCCAGAACATCTTATTGGGTGTATCTCGGAGACATGGATTTCAGACAGAGATGTCTATATAGACCAACAAGCCCAGGATTCCGGCCATGGGGCTCCCACATGGCAGGCCACTCATCATCTGGCATGCGAGCAGTCTCCCCTGCACAACAAAACATCCAAACCGGCAGTCTTGCCTTCCACAGATGACATATTCCACAGCTAACTCATCCCGCTTCCAGTAGGTAATGCATCTGGCTGAGTCTGGCTGAGCCTGGGAGAGCTAAGGGTAGAGTCCATTGATATCTATGCAAACAGTGGCTAGGTCACTATTCATCAATGAGGCAGCAGTGATTTCAATATGAAATGGACTAGTATTTGTTTCATGGACCACACCAACATAACGATATGGAAAGTGGGGATGAGATTCAGAGAATTGACTCACGTGGGGATCCCAACAATGTCAGTCAGAGCTCCTTCCTTCATTAGCCCGCCCAGGTAATGAATAGCCATACAGGAAGCGGGACCAGAGCCCAATCCAACCATCATCCCGTTCTTGATGTAATTATCAACCTGGAAGGATTGATATAGAACGTATATTAATCCTAGAACATATAATTAGATCACCAAATTGTACTCAGTCTTGTGATATTAAAATCATAGGGGAACGAAAAATGAAACAAATAAAAAATATCCCGCTGAGCAGTTCGCGTAAATCAATCGTGGATCGAAGGAAACCAGAGGACGGGAATGGTGTTGTGTTCTCCTTTCGTATTATTAGTCGCCCTGTTCACAGAGGCAAGATTACCAAAGTCTTCAGTGCCAACACTTTTCAGCACGGCACTGCGCGCCTCCAGCCATGCCGTCGCGCGTAGGAGGCGGACGACGCTCCTGGTCGCCCATTCCGCCACGGACTTCCTCACTATGATCTATTCTCTCCATTTGATCCCATTCAAATCGCCTCACATCACCTCTCATGACCGAAAAGATCACGAGCAGATGAGAAATCCTGACACAGAAGTGACCGAAACAGAAAACAAATCCTCATCCAAAAATTCCTAATCTCCTTCATATGATCAGTCTGTTCACAGAGGCAGGATTAGCAGATTCTTCAAGTATAATCTACTTTCTCCATTCGATACCAGAAAATCCTGACGCAGAAATAACCGAATAATAATAATAATAACAATAGTAATAATAATCATCCAAAGATCTTCCACCGCCGATCATATACTGGACATCAGGTTCGAGAACGCTCACCGTGTGCTTGGCGGCTTCCAGGAGCTTCGAGACGCCATCAGCGGCGCAGGCCATGGCTCCCGTCCCAACTCCAACTCTAACTCTGCCGCGGCCAGCCGGGAGAACAACTCGTCCTCCGAACACGGGAAAGCTCCGCCGGAGAGACGCCGATCGGAGAGAGTGGACACAGCAGGAGGCCGCCGCACTCGTGGAGGCCATCATCGCCGCCTTCCCTCCTCTCCGCTACCTCCTCCTCCCCCTTCTCTCTCTACCTTCCATCCCCCATTGCGGGAGCTCCTCTCAAATTTCGCCTCCGTCCCCCTGCCCTTCCTGCTGACTGGGTGGGGGAGATAACGGCTGACACGTGTCGTTCTCTCAGTTACTGAGGCAATCCGCTTCGCCACCCGAGCGTTTTGGAAGCGGGGTGTGGGGAAGTCGAGAGAATCCAAGGGAATGGAATACCATCTGTCTCCAACGGGGAATCGATTCTCAGGTAGTTGGGGGGAAAAACAAAAAGTAAAAACATTTCCGACCTGCCGGATTCGAACCAGCGACCTAAGGATTAATCTGCCAGCTAAAGTCCCACTACAGTCCTCCGCTCTACCAACTGAGCTAAGGTCGGTTTTGTTATATAGTCTTATTTGCATTTATTTAGTTTATAAAATAGAACAGTTTTTCTGGATTACTCTCCGAAATAATAATTCATCTTAAATTCTCTCTCTCTCTCTCTTAAATTCCGCAAGGTGAGGGGATTGAGATTGAACCTCCGGGATACAGGGAGAGGGTTGATTAAGGTGTAGAGAGAGAGTAACGGATGAGAATTGTTCACTTTAATCTCTAAGATTAGCTGTTTAAAATAGTCAACTTGCCCACAATTTTAGAATCTGTGAGTTGACTAAATCCCCACAAGTCAACTGGTCTGCAAGAATCGTTGACCCAATAACCCAACGTATACTACTTAATCAGACATATATCATGCTTGAAAGGCTTTTATCGGGTCTGATTGTTCTTCTGAGTTGCTACAAGCCCATCTCTATAAAACAATGAACTTGCTCTGTAGGGTTTGAATACTCTTTGAGTTGCTACAGCTCAGAAGAAAGAAGAGAAGAGAAGAGAAGAGAAAGAAGCGGCGAAAATGGCCTCTCTCTTTCTCTCTCTCTCTCTCTCTCTCTCTCTCTCTCTCTCTCCATCTCTATAAAACAATGAACTTGTTCATCTTCGTCTATAGAATTAGCTGTTTAAAACACCAAAACTTGCCCACAGACTTAGAAACCTGCGTGAAGGCGAATTTATACTAAACCGGAATAACCCATATAACTATACCATTTGATCAGAAGTATATCTAATATATATACAAATATACCGTGGTTGAAAAGCTTTGTTGGGTCTGATTATTCTTCGAGTCTCTCTCTAAAAAATTGATGAAACTGGCATCTAAAAGAGAGAGAATGACGAAACTTGTTCATCTTAGTTAATAAGATTAGCTGATTAATACACTAAACATGCCAACAAATTTAGAAAACTGGAAGTAGGCGATAATTTCTACCACTAAACCGGAATAACCCATATAACTATACTACTCGATATATATATATTTATATATCACGTTCGAAAAAGCTTAGTCGGGTCTGAATGTTCTTTGAGCTGTTACAAGCTCAGAGAGCTTGAAGCAAACGAAGCAACGGATATGGAGTCAGAGGCAGGCGAGGAAGAAGATGAAGCAAGTTCTCAAGGGAAATGAGTTTCATGATAAACTTGGGTTCTAATCGAAACATTGAAGTAGATTGCCAACAAAAGAAAGAAAACAAGGGGAAGGAAACACGACTTCTAGAGCAAAAAGGGGACCGGAGGAGGGGAGGGATCCTTCCTTCCTCGCGGGTATCCCGTGGGAGCCTACTTGGATCGCTGCCTCATCTTTCGGCGCTTCCTCTTCAGCCTCCTCATGCGCTTCTTCTTCCACTGCAGAGAAAGAATGGGGCACCCAATGAGCTGCTGCGGTCATTTTCTACCTAGAAAAGGCAGCAGAACAGAGGAACTCATTGGAGTTCGAGCTCAACATCCTGGAAGTCAAGAAAGATTGCAGAGAAAATGGCGGGTCTGCCTCTCTAAAACAGACTAAGAGGAGATGCTGGGTCAGAAATAGTTTCCAAATCAGCAGAAAATACTGTATCATTGCACCCGTTTGAGGTTTGACCGGCAAGATTGAATCTCGGATTAAAATGAAGAAAAACGACTGCTAGATATGGTTAAAAAGCAATGAACACTTGAAACTACTCGATAATTTCTAAGATACAGATTAATCAGAGAATAGCACAGATCAAAATTATTCCCTCAAGAACACTAATATGAAAATAAACGGCATACCACACTTGACACTGAGTAAATCAAAAATTTCAATAAAACCTAAGAAAATATGGCTTCCAGGCAAAAAATGGCCCCGGACAAGAAGCACATCAGAAGAAAAATTGAAGTAATGTAAGTTGAAATTTAACGTGATTAAATGCTAAGCTCTATAAGAGTTCAGGTAGAACAGTTCTTATTTCACACACACATCTTTAATGACAAATACATACCCTCAGTCAAGCTTAAACCAGATCCACTGAGTTTTCACAAACATGATGGTTTTTGCGAAAATATCTTCCTGGCCGTTAGAATACTCGGGTTTAAATAGCTGAACTGAATCCTACTACTGCCTACTTAAGAATAGAATTTTCTCTACAATCCATGTGAATCATTCGTTTTTACAGACCAAAAAACCCATGCATAGACTAAGCGAACATGACAAGGCTTCCACCACCCCGTTCCATTGTCGCATATACGACATTATTGACCTCTGATTACTGTTCCTATTAACACAAAAGGCCATTCGGACGTCAGACACATGCATTGAGTTTTAGTTCCGTGAAGAGACCCACAGGGTAACACAGAGCCAGAAACGATCGGTGCATAACTACTACAATATTCTCCCGTCTTAGTTCCAAAAGATTGACCACTTCATCAACATGCAAAATCCAGCCAAGCCAAATAGCGAAACAACATAGATTAGATGATAATCGTATTCTCGAAACTAGTAATGATCCCACCACAGATGAAAAAACCAACCACCGGAGAAAAATCTGACATCACTAGCACCGGGAACTACGGTTCTCAATCGAGAAATCAGATCCATCGCAGAGAAGAAACAGGTAAAGAAAACGACACAAGGCAGATCGATCCGACCTTCGCCCTCATCGAAACCTGCCCCGCTGCTCTCCTGAGACGGCGCCGAACGCTCGCTCCCTCGTACCTCCTCGGCTACTATGCGGCGTGTAAGAGCCTCCGCTTTGCCTTTATAGATGGCTGAGGACCTGAGAGAAACCCTAACACAGCCTCGGTGAATAAAGAGGCTAATTTGGCCATTTCCTATCAAACGTTTCATATCTGGCCGTTGATTAAGCCCACTCAATAGACGGTCAAGATGTATGGACCCCTCCCGTGGGCTGGGCTACGAAATAATTTGGGCTGGAACCGTATCATAGTCAGCTTCTGTTCCACGTGGCAGGCGTTGACCATATAGGCCTCGGTTTGAATTTAGGAGTTCTCTGAGGGTAGCCCTAGGAGAGGGAAGAGGAAGCCGGTGCATTGCTGGGAAGAGGATAGGGCGGGAGGATGCTGCGGTAGGGCTTGAGGAGCGAGCTATGGCGGCGGCGAGGCTTCGTCTCCTTCCTCCCTCTCTCTCTCGTGGCGCTCTCCGCCGCGTCCACTCCGCCGTAGGCGGCGGCAGCGCCGTGTTATGCCGCCGCGCACGCGCGGAGGTGTCGCCGGCGGGCGGGAAGAGGTCCCTCCTTCAGGTGAAGCGGAGAACGCGCTCCGATTCGGAGTTCGATCTGGAGGCGTACTCGCAGAACCTTGCCGAGCAGAGCGCGCGGGCGGTGGAGAAGGGGGAAATTAGGACAGATTTTGAAGGAGTGGTGGCGCATGTGCCTGTGATGCTCGGAGAGGTCCTTCAGGTGTTCCACCGGCGGCGCCTCCGCTCCTTCGTGGACTGCACCGTCGGCGCCGGTGGCCACTCATCCGCCGTATGCGCCCACTTTCCTCGCTTTCCTCCACCGCTCCCTTCCTGCTGATTTCTGAATGGCTGAAACATCATGGATCAGATAATTAGGGCGCATCCAGATCTGCAGTTCTACCTCGGACTGGACGTCGACACGACGGCACTAGAGACGGCGCGGGATCGGATCGATGCCGCCATTGAGGACGCGCGCTGCGCCTCGGAGATGGAGCATTCCCGCCTCGAGGCGCATCTTCGCCACGGGAATTTCAGGTCCCTGAAATCGATCCTCGGTGGCATCGAGGGCTGCACCTATCCCCTCGACGGCATTCTGATGGATTTGGGCATGTCGTCGATGCAGGTACAATCTAATCTCCATTTTTTTTCATGGCAATTGCTCGAACTTGTGGAATGTTTTGATCAATTGGAAGATCGAAGAACACTGTGCTTATGGTTTACTCCCCCGAACCTCCCTCCCAGCCTCTCCAGGAATCAAATTATGGGGGAAATGCCTTCTGTAGAACTGAAGTTGATGCTGTCCTGTACAGGTGAACAATCCCAGGAGAGGTTTCAGCGTGCTTGGCGATGGACCTCTGGATATGAGGATGAACCCTCAGGTGAGAGGCTACTGCATAAGCTTCCTGAGAGGGCATTCAAGAAATCCAACACATACGATGACCAGATTTTTTTCTTTTTCTTTGCTTTGAATCGAGTTCCATTAATGAGCTTGCATTGATTAATTGGCCAGACTCATTGCAGGCTGCATTGAAAGCAGAAGACATCTTAAATTCTTGGCCAGAAGCTGAGGTGGGACGCGTTCTGAAAGAATATGGAGAGGAAAGCAACTGGCGCTTGCTTCAGAAGAAGATCATGAGTGCCCGTCTGCATGGAGGCCTTCACTCCACGAAAGAGCTCGCAGATCTCGTGCGTTCTACATCCCCCAAGTCCAAAGGTAGTTCTTCAATCATCTTGAACCTTCAGTCTTGTGTTGCTTTGCGCACACATCATGCCGTGCCGTCTTGTGCCTTTCTGCAGTGCGTGGTCCCTCTAGATGAACTTATTGGGTTCATGATTCTAGCATATTGCCTATCCATTGATCGGAAATTACATCTGAATATACTTTTTAATCTAAGAATCTCTCTCAGTTCTTGATTGATCTTGGCCCCTTGGGTCTTCCCTCCCTCTCGGTAGGCTATTTATTTTATTTGGTTCAGAATTGATCTCATAGTACATCTCAAATATTCAAAATTGTGTCAAATGTTTGATTCATTAGAAGGATCTCCGCTAGTTCTTCAATTATCCCAAATATTTGGTTCATGATTCTATCATATTACCCACCCATTGATCGGAAATTACATTTTAAAAATGCTGTTCAATCTAGGGATCTCTCTCAGTTCTTCATTGATCTTACACGAATCTTTTCCTGGTCCATAATTGATCAAAATTATATCGAATATTGATGCATTAAGATAGCCTATTCGAGTTATTTCATTCAGAATTTTGCCATAAAACCTGTCCGATCATCAGAAATTCTTGATCTAGGGAGGCAGGGTTGGATCAAGACGGCCACGCGGGTCTTCCAAGCGTTGAGGATAGCAGTCAACGATGAGCTCAGAACCCTAGAAGACGCCCTCTATGGGTCCTTTGAGTGCCTCTCCTCCGGCGGCCGCCTAGCCGTCATATCTTTCCACAGTTTAGAGGACAGAATCGTGAAGCAGACCTTCCTCAGCATCATCAACAAGGAGGAGGGGGTGAAATCTTCTGCAGAAGAAGTTGCAGAGAACTGGAGCAAGGCGAGAGTAGTGGGCAAGGAGGGGATCATCCTAACCAAGAGGCCGATCACGCCCACGGAGGAGGAAGAGAAGCTGAACGTCAGATGTAGAAGCGCCAAGCTGAGAGTGATTCAGAAGATCTGATCTGATCCTCCCTGTTTATGGGAGGATTTCAAGCAATTTCTCTGATGATCTGATCTGATCTGATCTGATCTTCTCCAGAGGTGCCCCTCCCTAACCTACCCAGCAGTTGACTTTCGTGCTGATCTTCTGGAAATGTTTCGATCTCTTTAGCTTAATCTTTTGCCAAATTTATCAGCACGGGGCTGCTGGATTTTTTATCCGAAAATGCAAGAATCATTTATTTTTCCTGATTTTTTAAGGGTTTTTATCTTCATAATTCAATTATGTTCTGAAATAAATAAGAACTCTTTAATCTTTTTTAATCCATTCAAACGATGAGAAAGAGGCCAGCTTTTTTTTTCGTGGGCTTTCGTTGGTCAACGATGTCGTATCCGGCCCGGTTCGGCCCGGCCCAGTATTTTCTGGCCTCAGGCCTGGGAGCATCGGCTGGCCCGTTGACTCCTCGTTGTATTTAATGCTTGCCACGTGGTGGTTTTAACTTTTTAAGATTGTTCACGAGGGCTGATGACGAATGGGGAGCCCAATGAAGCACCGAACTGGTTAGATTCTTTTCCGAGTAGAGCGGATAGAGAGAGAGAGAGAGAGAGAGAGAGAGGGGTGGCACGTGCGAGGCGTGAGAGAAACACGGAGACGCGTGACTTTTTTGGTCTTGCCGACGAGTCACGGGCAGCTCGCCGACGGGGCCCGACTCCCGAGTCTTGCGCGAAACCCAACGGATAGGGATAGTAGAGAGAGAGAAAGAGTAGAGAGAGAGATATATATTAGAGAGAGAAAGAGTAGAGAGAGAGATATATATTAGAGAGAGAAAGAGTAGAGAGAGAGAGATATATTAGAGAGAGAAAGAGTAGAGAGAGAGAGAGAGGCCGCTATGGCTCCCCCTCGATCTAACTAACGGTCATCGGAGATCCCCCTCCCACCGCACCAGGGATCTAATCACGTGACCCTCAGAACTTGACTCTAATCACTTGGAGTAGCTCTACATTTTTCCGACACAAAGGTATGGATCCCTGTCGTTAACCACATATATTTCTAACCCCTCTCATTGGAGGTATTTATATTTATACCCACCATTAGGATCACTGATGAGATAATGAAAGAACTGTTCCTGCAGACCAGGTTCGCTCTAGAAAAACGAGAAGCAGAAGAAGAGAGAAGAAGAGTGTCCGACACCTTTCTCTCTCTCTCTCTCCACTTCTCTCTCTATGTACAGAATAGTCCCTAAACTAGTCAAAGCAAATATAATACAAAAGGGTCGCATTATCTCTCTCTCTCCCTGTCTCGCAGAGTGTGCAGGACACAAATGTGAGTGGCCCACCACTTGCCAGAACCTACGAAGTAAAACCTCTCTCTCTCTCTCTCTCTCCTATTCTGTCCTCCTCTTCTGGGTCTGCTTGTCTCTCTCACCATCTCCATGGACCCCACGAAGATCGCGTCAAATCATCGTGAAGCACCGTCAGGCACTCAGAACTTCCCCCAGCGAGGACGGACCCCCCCCTTCCCTGGTTGGCCTTGCGTCCAGTGAAGCGCAGAGAGGAAGACGAAACCCACGTCGTCCTCAACTTTGGGCAGAAGGGGAGCAATTAGAGGTGGCATGGGAAGCCAGGTCCAGCGGGGGCGGGGGGCGCTTGTGGTGGCTCCCCCGCTTTAGAAATCAATAAGAGCCCACCATCGGCCCCTCCCTCAGTGTCCCCGTGTGCCCACAATCCCCATTACTTTTATTCTCTCTCTCTCTCTCTCTCTCTCCTTCTTCTCTCTTTCTCTCTCTACTGGACTGTGTAGGAGTGGCTTTCCCTTTTCTCTCTTTTCCCTTGCTCTGCGGCTGAGCTGCTGAGAGCTCCACTGAGGTCAGTGGCCCTCCCAGACATATTCCTGAACAGATAGGAAGAGCCGCAGCAACAACCAGCCGAGCTCCAGCTAATAGAAAAACCTTCACCCGCTCCTCTTGCGAAAAGCTTCCAGATTCCTCGCCAACGGGACTCTCTTCTTTACAGATCACCTGGAAGAACTCTCCTCTTCTTCTCTCGCCTTGGAGCTCCCATGGAGGACTGAAGGGGAAGGAAAGGGAGGTTAAACGAGCAGCTTCCTTTCTCTGAAGGCTGTGTCCTCTGGTCAGTATGGCCATGGCTTGAGGAGGAAGAGAGAGAGCGAGAGAGAGAGAAAGAGAGGAGGAGGAAGAGGGTTTCTATTTTTCTGGGTTTTGTTTCTATGGAGGGCCACCGTCGGGCGCATGCGGTGGCGCTGTGCCTGCTATGGCTGTGGGCCGGCGGGCTCTGCCAAGAGAACGCTGCCTCCGTCTACATCGTCACTCTGAAGCAAGCTCCCACCGCCCATTACTACGATCTCCTGAGGAGTTCTAAGAGCAGCACCGGCGGCGGGGAAAGTGGCCCGATGAACACTCTCAACAAGCCAAGGTGCGGCCTGTCTGTTCACAACTTCTCGGCCGCCTTCGTCCCCCAACTGGGTTCTGGTTAATCTGAAGATTTAAATACTTGTTCATCTGTGATCCGCTCGGATCTCGCCATGGCTCTCTACTCTTCCTCTGTTTTTTCCTCAGGAAAAGCCACATGTGTCGGGTCTCTGAGACATTATTATTTATTTGATGAAGGGCGAATAATATTGTTGATGACAAACCCACCCAGATAGAAAGTCCAATTATTTATTGATTCATTACTTTTTTTATGTGTTCATCTGGATCACTTCAGGAATGCGTCAAGACCCGACGGAAGCTACGGCAAGAACCTCATCCGCCTCCATGACTCCCTCCTGAGAAGGGTCCTCAAGGGCCAGAACTATCTGAAGCTCTACAGCTACCGCTACATTCTGAATGGGTTCGCCGTCCTGGTCACTGCCCAGCAGGTACATCCCATCTCCCGCTCGGATCATTCACACCCACCTGCAACTTCCCAAGAACAAAAATTACAGAAAAAAAAAATGAATATCATATTCTTGTGTCCATCTTCGACCGTGAAAGGCGGAGAAGCTGGCGAGGAGGCAAGAGGTGGCGAATGTGGCGGCGGATTTCTCTGTGCGCACCGCCACGACCCACACTCCGGAGTTCTTGGGCTTGCCCAAGGGGGCATGGGTCAAGGAAGGTGGAGCAGATGTTGCAGGGGAAGGGGTGGTCATCGGGTTCATCGACACGGGGATCGATCCCACTCATCCCAGCTTCTCCGACGAAGCTCCACTCAATGTCTTCCCAGTGCCGCTTCATTTCTCCGGCGTGTGCGAGGTCACAAGGGATTTCCCATCTGGGTCCTGCAACAGGAAGCTCATCGGCGCCCGGCACTTCGCCGCCTCCGCCATTACCAGGGGGATATTCAACGCGACCAAGGACTATGCTTCGCCATTTGATGGGGACGGCCATGGAACGTGCGTGCATCAGTCTAGCTTCTTTTCTCTGCATGATTTTATTTTTCCGATTATTCTTGCTATTTTACTTCACTGCAGTAAAATCGGCTCAAGTTTATTTGACAGGGTTGGTATTTATTTTATTTATTTTATCATACTTTATTAAGATAGTCCACTTCTTTGTCAATCTTCTTTGCTCATTGATCATTTATAAAAATATCAAATGATTGGATAAAGGAGAGATTACCTTGATGTAGTCGGTTGTTCTTTTACTAAGATAGTTCACTGCTTTGTCAATTTTCTTTGCTCGCCACTTATTAAAATATCATATCAATCCATAAGTGAAAAATTATCTTGATCTAGCTGGTTGTTCTTTACTAAGATAGTCCACTGCTTTGTCAATCTTCTTTGCTTGTCATTCTGTTAAAATATCATATGATTGGATAAAATTATCTTGATGTAGTGGGCTGTTCTTCCACAGGCATACAGCATCCATTGCAGCAGGAAATCATGGCGTCCCTGTTATTGTCGCTGGGCATCACTTTGGGAACGCAAGCGGCATGGCTCCTCGTGCGCAGTAATTAGTCATCTTTTAATATTCTATTAATCTCTTTATCATAACACTGGAGATTATTTGAATTTTGACTCTATGTATTTATTTATTTATTTATTTGGCAGCATTGCTGTCTACAAGGCGCTTTACAAAAGCTTTGGGGGGTTTGCAGCTGACGTCGTTGCCGCCATCGACCAGGTGCGTCTGATGCTGAACTGCAGGCTTGGCTTCTGTTATTTCTAGGCGTTGAGTGTAATCAGTATATTTCTAGCCGCAATTTCCTGAAGACTTGCCAGATTTAGCAGGATTACTGCCTCAGTCAACCCCCATGGGAACTCCTACTCTGGAGATTCTGGAGTTTTTTTTTTTTTTTTCGTTTTTAAGAGCTCGTTTATTTTTAACTTGCTTCAAATATTTAATAAAAAATAATGATGCTTGTTCTGAATTTCGGCTGCAATTTTTTTATATAATAATTACGATTTATTATATCCACAGGCAGCCCAAGATGGAGTAGATATAATAAGCTTGTCGATCACCCCCAACCGGCGTCCTCCTGGAATAGCGACGTTCTTCAACCCCATTGACATGGCCCTTCTTTCGGCAGTAAAGACTGGCATTTTTGTGGTGCAAGCAGCTGGAAACACGGGCCCATCTCCAAGAAGCATGTCTTCCTTCAGCCCATGGATATTCACGGTCGGCGCTGCAGCCCATGATCGAGTCTACAGTAACTGCGTCGTCCTCGGGAACAATCATACTATTTCAGGACTTGGGCTCGCACGTAAGTCTTAAAAGCTCCTTGTCCTTCAGGATCATGAGACCATAAAAGGCGGTATTTCTATATTTTTGCCACCATTTAGATGGTAAAAGGTCCCTGATTGGGAGGCTCACTCCATCAGAAAATATCCTTCACAGTCATGAGATAATAAAAGGTGGTGTTTCTATATTTTCGCCACCATTCAGATGATAAAAAGGCCCTGATTTGGTAGATTCTTAGGCTCGCTCTATCAAGAAATGAAAGCTAGTAATATTTTTATTTTATTTTTCAATTTGTGTTCTTTTCTGGATCATTTTTTCTGCTCCAGGGCCCTGGTTTTTCAGATGTGTCTGTTCCTCATTTCTTGAAATGAGGTACTTTTAGCCTTCTATTTCATTTCTCTAACATAAAATAACCAAAAAATTAAACTCTTCATAAAGTATATGAGGTCGTTTCAGCCTTCTATCATCTTTCACTCTCTCTCACTCTCCATCTTTGGATGTAATTTCAGCGGGAACAGATGGGGATTCGATGTACCCATTGGTTTCCCCCATTCATGCTCTGAGAGACGATGCATCGGTGGACACTACGAGCAGCATGTACGTGGGGGAGTGCCAAGACCCAAGCCCTCTAGATAAAGATTCCATAAGTGGAAATATTCTGATATGCAGCTACTCAGTCCGCTTTGTGCTCGGTCTCTCCACGATACGGCGGGCCCTGGAGACCGCAAAGAATCTCAGTGCAAGGGGCATTATCTTCTACATGGACCCTTTTGTGATGGGCTTTCAGCTGAATCCGACTCCCATGAAGATCCCAGGCCTGATGATTCCATCTCCTGAAGATTCCAAGGTATTTGTACCATCTTTCATGAGCTCCCATTTTTGTGGAAAAAAAAAACTATAGGACATTCTTCTCTCATTATGCCGATCTGGGTCAACGCCCTATCCCAGGAAAATCCTCTGCCCTGACGCATGCAGATTAAATTAAAATTTCCCCTTTAATTATTTTCCTTTATCCTTTGTGGGTAGGCTTTTATTTTTTTCAACGAGGTACAGAAAACCTCAAAGATCAGCTTCGAGAAGTAGAGGGGGTGTTTATAGGTTTGACTTTGTGCCTGATTTTTCCTCCATTTAATTTTATTGTCTTATCATTTTCTTGGGTAGATCTTTCTCCAATACTACAACTCCTCGATTGTGAGAGATGAAGCCTCGAGATCGGTCGTCAAGCTTGGTGGTGTTGCCAGGATATTTGGCGGCCTGAGGGCCAATTACAGTAATCTGGCACCCAAGGTGCTCTACTACTCCGCCAGAGGGCCCGACCCGGAGGACAACTCCTTCCACGATTCGGATATCATGAAGCCCAACCTGATAGCCCCCGGCAACCTCATATGGGGGGCTTGGAGCTCTCTGGGCGCTGACTCCATGGAATTCCAAGGTAACAAAAGCCCAGCCCATTCCGTCGTGTTCTTCCTTGCCAGGCACGGATCCAATGTGGCCTCTGTTGACCCGATGGAGAATTGCTCGTTCATGGGCTTGATCTGATCTTCAATTGTGTGGGAGGGATGGTGACAATTAGTGAAGGATCAGTTCCATTTTATGCTGAAAATAGATGGGTGTTGACTTTTTGAATAATGAATAAATAACGTACTGAATTATGTTGGAATTGCCCATTCATGGGTTTGATTTCAGCATCAATTATGTTGGAGGGATGATGAGAACTAAGAAAATATCAGCTCGTTTTATGCTGAAAATAGATGGGTGTTGACTTTTTGAATAGTGAATAAGCTTACTGAACTGCCCCCTCTTGACCCCCTGAGAATTCCCCATTGCTGGTATTGATTTGATCATCAATTATGTGGGAAGGATGGTAATACTTAGGAAAGTATAAGCTCGATTTTATGCTGAAACTAAATGCGTGTTGACTTTTTTGAACAGTGAATGAGCTTAGCTTACTGGAAGCGGATTTTGTGATTTCAGGGGAGAGCTTTGCTCTGATCTCCGGAACCAGCATGGCAGCACCGCATGTGGCCGGGCTCGCCGCCTTGATCAAACAGAAGTTCCCAGGTTTCAGCCCCTCGGCCGTGGCCTCCGCCCTCTCGACGACCGCCTCCGTTTATGACAAGCAGGGCGGCCCCATAATGGCCCAGAGAGCCTATACCAATCCTGACGCCAGCCAGTCGCCGGCGACTCCATTCGACATGGGCAGTGGCTTCGTCAACGCCACCGCTGCCTTAGACCCGGGTTTAATCTTTGATTCAAGTAAACCCTCTCTCTCTCTCTCTCTCTCTCTCTCTCTCTCTCTCGCTATTTTCTATTTGTGCCATCTGGGTCATGCCTGATTTTCTGTTAGGAGCTCTTTACTGGCAGAGAACGGAGGATTCATGACTGTTGGCGTTGACTTTGCAGGTTTCGACGACTACTTGTCGTTCCTCTGCGCCATCAATGGGTCGGGCCCCGTCGTTCTGAACTACACAGGCCGTGGATGCGGCGGCGCTACCGTTGACGCCGGTGATCTCAACCTGCCCTCCATCACCGTCTCGCTGCTGAACCAGTCGAGGACCGTCTCGAGGCGGGTCACCAACGTCGCCGGTGACGAGACCTACGCCGTCACCTGGAGCTCCCCCTTCGGCGTCTCGGTCTCCGTTTCGCCGTCACGCTTCTTCATCTCTGCCGGCAGGAGTAGGGTTTTGACTTTCGTCCTCAACGCCACCATGAACAGCTCGTCGGCGAGCTTTGGACGGATAGGGTTGTACGGAACCGGAGGCCATGTCGCCAGCATACCGCTGTCGGTGATTTCCAAGGTCAACTTTGACAAAGAGGTGAAGTGATGCGGCGGCCGTCGGACTGACGTGGGTTTGACTGATCTCGGCGGATAGCGGGTCCCATTTTTTGATTCATTTTTTGCCTTTCGTGTGTAAATTTTGAAGTCAACCAACGGGTTTTGATTCCAATCTGTAGTATAGGAAGATCTCGAGTAATCACTCTCTCTCTCCCCTCCCTCTCTCACTCACACTGTAATGTTTTTAGATGAGTTTTCAGGACTATTACTTTAACAGAACCTCTTACGTCGAGTCTTCACACCTCTCTCTCTCTCTCTCTCTCTCTCTCTCTCTCCATATCCATCTCTCTCCCGCTTCGTACAGTCCAACCTCTCTCTCTCTCTCTCTCTCTCTCTATCCATCTCTCTTTCGCTTCATACAGTCCAACCTCTCTCTCTCTCTCTCATTGCCCATGTCTTGGATATCCTCTAGCTACACAACGGGGGCATAGATGCTCAATTGTTGGAGAATTGTCCATGTGGGTACGTGCGTAATTATAGTTCTTTGCAAGGTAATTTCGTAACGGGTTTTTACGGATGACGACGATGGCTTGCATGGGCATGCACGCTAAGGGAAGACCTTTCTATTTAAAGCTCCCCCCATCGGAAACACCAACGACGACGCTCAGTCATCGTTGACCTACATTCAAGTGCCTACGTGTTTCCATTTCCTTGTCCGTAAGCGTTGACTTCTTTCTTTGCCATACTCTGGATTCGGCCCAGATAAGCTCGATGGGCCTCAAATATCAAACAACGGAGCAAAGGCCCAGAAACAAAACCACAGATATCTCTCCGCTCTCTCTCTCTCCCCCTATGTCTCTGTCTCTCCTTCTTTCCTGTCTCTCTCCCTCTTTGTCTATCTGTCTGTCTGTCTGTCCCCTTCCCTCCTCTCTCTCTTCTCTCCTTATCTCCTCTCTCCCTCTCTCTCTCTCTCTCTCTCTCTCTCTCTCTCTCTCTCTCTCTCTCTCTCTCTCTCTCTCTCTCCCCACCTCTTTCTATCGATCTCTCTCTGGCTGTCTTGACTCATGCGCTCATTATTTCCCTAGAAACCTATGCACATTTAAGGAAGTTGGGACAAAATGGGCTCCCACATTCATGGAAGGGTCACCCTTGAAGAGGAGGGGAGGTCTTCAAGGGCTGTGGAACTCCCTTCTGCGCCGTGTGACGCCAAATGTACGCCATCCTTGAAAGGAGTAACTCTTTCATGAAAAGAATATCTCCGGTTGGAAGACTTTGGACTTCCATATAATGCGTTCAGAAAGAGCGAGAGAGAGAGAGAGAGAGAGAGAGAGAGAGACCATGCATCAAACGATGTGAAATCTGTGTCCTGATACCTATAAAGATCATAGGCATACGATTAGTCTCGCTGTTAACAGATATGCACCCTCCTCAACTTACTAATCCGGAGAGATACTGAAGGGTTTCCATGTCTATATAGATAGAGAGAGAGAGAGAGAGAGAGAGATGTATGTGTTGAAGTGTAGAGATAATATTACTGTCTGTTCCCATTCCCTCCAGATCATACAATTCTAAGGAGAGATCAATTGGTTTCCACATTGTGAGAAAGTGAGGAAGACACGTACGCTGACATATATGTATATATATGTATATATATGTATATATATATATATATGTATAAGCATATATATCGCACGTTCTAGAGGTCATGAGATGATACACATTTGCCGAGGTTGACCCCTTGTGACTATAAATAGAGGGGCCATCCTTCTCATTTGCTCATCCCATTAGAAGAAGCTTTGAGAAGGTGGCTGAGAGGGCTTGGGAAAGGTTCTAAGGGAGATCTCTCTTTGGGGTCTTGGTGAATGTTTAGAGGGTGGGTCAACATCAAAGATTTGTTCTGTGAATTCTTGACGAGTGCTTTGAGGGGAGGATCAAGGATTTGTTCCTTCGAGTTCTTGGTGAGAGTTCTTATGTGGAGCTCTTGGTGAGAGTTCCTACTTCATGTCGTACAGATTGAGTGAGCAGTGTTCTATAAGTTTATATTGGGCTTTTGCTCTAACAAAGAGACTAATGGGTTTCAACGTATTGAGAGAGAGAGAGACCAGAGACCAGAGGCATTGTAGGAGCTAACTAAAACTTGGAGAGAGAGAGAGAGAGAGAGAGCAGAGACCAGAGACCAGAGACATTGTAGGAGCTAACTAAAACTTGGAGAGAGAGAGAGAGAGAGAGAGAGAGAGAGAGAGAGAGAGAGATGGATGCGTTGATGCGTAGAGCGAAATAGAGAGATGGAGAGATGATATGACTGTTCATTGAACTTTCGCCCAGATCATATGATTCTAGGAAGAGAAAAATGGGTTTCCAGAAATTGAGAGAAAGACACAACACAAACAAACATATGTACATATAGACAGAAAGATGGTCTTGCTATTACGGGCATACCCTCCAGAGAACCCCAATCAACAGATCTCCCCCTCAATGCTGACGGAAACATACGATTTCCGTCAGCACTGAGGGGGAGAGAGAGAGAGAGAGAGAGAGAGATCTTACTCTCCACCGACAGACCCTCCTGAGCACACCATTCCACAAGAGACCTTGGGTGGGTTTCCATGAGTACTGAAGCCATGAGAAAGAGAGAGAGAGAGAGAGAGAGATAGAGAGAGAGAGAGAGAGAGATAGAGAGAGAGAGAGAGAGAGAGAGAGAGAGAGAGAGAGAGAGAGAGAGAGAGAGATCTTAATCTCCACCGACATACCCTCCTCAGCACACAGACCCACAAAGAGACCTTGCGTTTCTTAAGTACTCCGGCCATGAGATAGAGGGGGCAGAGAGAGAGAGATAGTCTATTATATATACGAACGCATATATTTACTACCAGACGGCAACATCACGCGAGGACTAGCCTCCAGCTAGCGTCAGATCCACTCTCCTACGTCGACAGAAGGGCGTTGAAGCCTCTCCAGTGCTCTCTTTCTCACTCTAAATCTCACGCAGCTCCCACAGCCTCGGGTCACGCCGCCGGAGCTACGTCGCCACCGTCGTCGTCGTCGTCGTCGTCATTCTCTCCGCCGCCCCACGCCACCACGTCGCCGGCGGCGGCACCGCCTACCTCATCGGAATAAACGAGCTCTCTCCTCCCATTGGCGATCGCCATTGCAGAGCAACTGCTCTCTCTCTCTCTCTCTCTATCTTCCGCCGAGATTGTGAGAGGAGTTCACTCTGAGGTGCCCGGCTGGGGAGCGCAGGGAGGCTCCATTTAATAAGGCAAAAGGTGGACCCTCCCACTCTAAGGTAAAGATGGCTGCTTTCGCACGTGCGGGGGTGGCCTATTCACACGTTCTGCCTACTTGGCACGTGGGCCCTACGGAGGCACCCGAGACTCGTGCCAACTCATGGAGGGTGCGAGCGCTCCACATTCCCCACGTGGATTCTGCTCCCCGGCCACGGGTTTGCCACGCAGGACATGGAGTCAAATGAGTCAAACAGCAACGGTCACTGTTGTTATTTAATCCACTTGGCCCATGGGCCTTTTGGGCCAATAAGCCCATATGCCTTTTGGGCTGATTTCAGTGTAATGTATGATTAGCAGGAGAGAAAGAGCAAGAGAGAGAGGAGAGAGAGAGAGAGAGAAGAGATGGAGAGAAAGGACAGACTCGTTGACAAACCAGAAGGTGGCGGCAACGAATGCGCCGCCGGGCGGCCAGGAGGAGGTAAGAAGTAAGAGAACTCATTCATTTGGCCTGATTCCCAAAGGCGGGGGGGGAGAGAGAGAGAGTGAGGGAGAAGGTCAGACCCGTTGACACCGCTAATGCATGATTTGGGGGGGGGGGAGGGGGGCGGGGGGGCTCAGGCTCCTCTCTGGGTCTCAGTGCAGGCCACCGACTCCCTCCTTTCTCTCTCTATAAATGCACAACCTTTCAGGAGTTGGTCATCATCACTAATCATCCAAACCTTCCACCGCCATGGATTCTCTCAGGTTCTCGTTCCTTGTCCTTGTTCTCCCCTTCGCCTTCCTCTCCTTCCTCCACCTCTGCATTGCCGCTCGCCCCCTGCAACCCGGCGGGGCGCCGTCGCCGGCGGCGGCGCTTCCGCCTCCGGTCGAGGGCGTAGAAGAAGGGAAGTTCCTTCCGCTGCCGTCGCACTTCCCCGGAATGGGTTCTGGTTTCCCGTTCCCCACTCACCCGGTGGTGCCGCTGCCGGGCTTCTCCGCCGGCTGGACGCCGCTGCTACCGCCGTCGCCGCTAGTCTCTGCTGGTTCGGCGAAGCCCGCTCCGCCGCCGGCTCCGGCGACCCCATGAATGACCGATCAAGAATGTGACTGCTCGCGCCGATGGGACCTTTCTCACTGCTGCTGCTTCCCATGCTTCTCATCGCCATTGATCAATCAAAGATAAAACTTGTGGACTGCTCTCCTATATGTTTCTAAAGCTTATCTCTCTCTCTCTCTCTCTCTCTCTCTCTCTCTGCGTGACCCGTTGACATTTTTACATAAAAGTTTAAATTAGGTAGTTTTTTGGGTTAACGTATATCGCAGGTAAATTGTACCCGAAGTATTAGAATATCCGAACTCCATTGGGGAGCCAACTCTCATGGGAAGTTGGGCTGCATGAGTGGGATATGAAACACCTCACCCGTCCTCTTATTGGGCCCAATGTACGAAATTTTGAGGCCAGTCAGGCCCCTTTGCGTCCACGTGTCGGGACTGATGAGGCGAGATTGCTGACCGATGAGAGAGAAAGAGAGAGAGAGAGAGAGAGAGAGAAAAATCAATAGACGCAACACCGTGCACTCACCTACCGGCAATCTACATCATCCGGCAGAGGACGATAGTCATGGCGGCAACGCTGTTTAAATTCTTAGCCCGCCTGGCGGCCGCTGGCGAGCTTTGGGCGACCCTGGTGAGAATGAAGGTGAAGCCGCTGAGGAAACTGATGAGCACCAGGGCGACCCTGGCCGTGATGGCTTTTAGGTCCAGGGAGGGATCAATCCAGACGCCCAGATCGCGATTATGAGCAGCCTGGTCTTCTTCTGTTCATTGATTTCCTTCGCCACATCTTCAGCCCCGTCCTCTGGTGCCGACATCCAGAGCAGAAAGATAATTGGGGTCAAGAAGTGAAGCAAACAACCAGATCAAGAGATCACCGGTGACCTACCTATTTCTTGGTCCAAGAAATCGGGAGAAAAATCTTCTGAAGAGGCAAGAAAATTGAGAAGCCATCGAAGACTAGGGGAAATTACCTTGCAGAAGGATCGGTCCTGGTTCTGCACAGCGGCGGGGCGGGCCAAGATATCCTTCGCTAGCCGATCTCCCTCCTCCTCTTCTTCTGCGAGGAAGCAGCGGGGAGGGCGGGCCCTTTATCTTGCTTATCAGACCCATAGGATTTCTTTTTTCTTTCAATTGACTGAATCTTCTTAGTTGGACTTCATTTTTCCACGGTTTTGTTGTTGACTTTTTCCCCCCGCATGAATCTTCTAGGCAACAGAACCATCTCTGATTTGGTCTTCTTCTCTGGATGGCGCTTCTCGTCTATGCAACCAGCTTTTGACAGCATTGCGCAATCAAGGGAGATTAATGAGAAGACCTTTGCCTGATGTTAATGGTTGACTTGGCGCCATGCAGTTAAGATGAAGATTATCATGGGAAATATGTCACACAGGAGTTTATTGAAATGGGTATTGGCATTTTATTTTTTACTTAAAAGCATAAAAATAAGAAAACGTAGAAAGGACCTTTAATATAAATTTCATATTATATTAAATAGAAAGGACCAACGAGGTCCGTCAGGGGAACCAGGAGGTCGGTGGCCAACGAGGTCTTGTGGCTCTCATTTTAGATTGCAGTAGAGAAATAGGATCTCCGCTCGAGTACGGCGAGGACGCCACGTCAGAATGCTCACGCAGGCAGCGCGAGGGGGTGCAAGGCGTGGATCGTTTCCTATCCACGTCAGAATGCTCACGCAGGCAGCGCGAGGGGGTGCAAGGCGTGGATCGTTTCCTATCCACGTCAGAATGCTCACGCAGGCAGCGCACTGCCTGCCCCGTTGCCTCCGACTTCGACCACTATCGCCGTCTGCCACCGCCGTGGCCTCCATCTCTGCCTCTGCCCTCTGCGAGTGCAGCCTCAACAGCCAACTTTCCTATTCCCGTTGTCCCCATCGTTCTCTCTATCGTGCACATGTGGTTGGTGGGAAACGATAAAATGCGGAAGGATGCTACTATTCCTCGCGGTTGCCCCCGCAGTCCAAATGGCTGACTAAGAGCAAGCCACCTAGGAGCAGGAAGAGCTAGAGGCGTAATTTTACATAGCAAAAAAGATAGAGAGAAATAGAGAAATGGAGATAGTGTCTGTGAGGGTTCGCCCACACGTAGATTGATATGCCTCTTTTTAAGAGTTGATTATCTTTTCTTATTTTATCTAAATAGTGAGAACAACATTTTATGACATATATTTCTTTATTTATGAGAACAATACACAACGAGATTTTTCTCTTTTAATTCTTTTATCTTTCTTCATCAACTCTTTTTCTCTTTTTTGATCTCTCATCTTTCTTTTATTACAAGTAAAGTCTTTGTAGAAGAGATAAGAGTTTATTGCTAACTTTCTAGTGTGTGGGTTGTCTCGAGAGTGTTAAGATGTAGATTAATGTGTGATAGAAGGAGATAAGAGTTCATTACTTAATGAATTCTCTTATATTTCTTCTCATTAATATTTAGAATTTAAGTTTTCATTATTATTAGGATCCTATGTTTACATATTTATCCTTACAAGTGATATCATAATATTATTTTGATTGTTTCTAAATTTATTATTACTTCTAAAGTGCACATTGACATTCAAAAGTTGAATTAATCTTCTAATTGTAATATCTGGAAATATTGTGTGTATGATGTATTATTACATACTAACTTATATAAGACTTTGGATGGATCAAATTGAGACAATATCAATATTGATGATTATGAGATAATGAAGGAGAAGATTGAAGGTTTTACACCAAAGTCAATGATGAGTAAATTGACATTAAAGATAAAGTTATTTACGTTACACATACTAAAAGGAGATCATTTTGTATCTTATATTAATTATTTTAATCGATTATGAAATAACCTACTTCATAAGGAATCAGATTTTTCTAATGAGAACAAAGTTATTATTCTGCTTGTTTCTCTTCCTAATTCACATGATTATCTTATTAGAACCTTGTTGCATAATAGTACATCACCCATTTTTGAAAATATGAAAGACAAGAAAAATAGATCATCAAGAAACAAGATTAGTTGATCTAATTCACAAATAAATTAGTTGAAAAATTAAACATATGAATAAATTATCTGAAGAACCAGAGTGATAAGACATTATAAAGTGAATCTAATGATAGCATAAAGTTTTACTTTTACATGTTGAAGATTGTCTATACGAGGTGTGATTTTAATTATTATATTTATATGAATACTAGTGATGATGGTTTTTTTATTATTATGATACTCTATATTGATGATATATTCATTACTTCAAATAATTCACATAAGATTGTCATATTGAAGACACTATTAAATGTGAAATTTGACATGAAAAATCTTGATGTAACAAAAAAGATTCTTAATATGAAGATTCATTAAGATCAAGAGTTAAGTTAGCTATGGTTAACTCAAAGAAATTATATCTCGAAGATAGTGAATCTATTTGTTATCAGTAATACTAAAATAGTAGACACTTTTCATATTAGTCATTTTTGATTACCTATTACATAGTGTCTGACATCTAAAGAAGATATTGTTGAGATGAAATAAATTCTTTATGTTAGTATAGTTGACTCTCTTATGTATGCTATGGTTTGTATAAAATTAGATATTGTTCATGCAGTTAGACTTGTTAGCATATTTATGAATAATTTAAGAAATGAACATTAAATATAGTGAAGTGGATTCTCATACATCTAAAGGGTTTTATCAAAATTTTAAATTTTATTTTTACTGAGAAAATTGACTTTCTAATGTTGGCTTTGTTGATGCAGATTTGTTGAGGATTTAAATTATCAAAGATCCCCATAGCTAGTGGATCTACGAGTTGGAAGTCTATATCTCAGACTACTGTTGCATTGTCTAGGACTTAGGCATAGTACATGACAACTACTAAAGTGACCAAAGAAGCCT